CCAGCTATTGAAGAACTACCTACGTAAGTTCATTTGGAGAATATAGCTGTCAGTCAGGTGGCCAGATTATTATAATCCACAGTCCTGTAGATTGAAGGGATAGCAGATTTGGTAATATGGGAGAGTTCTTCATTCGGCTTACACATATGGAGGGATCTTACAACTATAGATACATTGTGAGACGCCGCAAACCACGCTCAATCAGGGAGAAATAGAAAGGTCTTTTTGTTCAAGTCGGTTTGTAAAAATTCCATTTATGGTCATTTTATAGGGTTTGTGGAGATGTCCAGTCATTTGGGAACCCAGTAGTGACCACAGGTTTTTTAATTAAGCTGGGTAAGTTGTCTCGTATCTTGACATTTAGTGCAGAAGAATGAAAAACCTTCCATTTGTTCTCAAGCTATAATTAAAAAAACCCCCCCCCCCCTCCCTCCACACACACTCATCGATGGCTAAAAGCCTCTTTCACGTCCTTCTCCTTTGCCCCCCCTCCTGTGAGACACTGGAGCTCTCTGGGACCTCATGGAGTTAAGTTTGTAGTCCAGCTGCAGGCAGCCTAATTTAATATGGGGTATAAAAGCCTCTTGGGGTGCAATGCCTTTATACCTGTCAAAATATTCTTGTCATACCTTCTTTCATGTGGTGAAATATACTTTTTTGAGCAAGTAAGTAAGCAGCCGTATTGGGAGGGAGGAGGGGTGCCGCATGTTAAATTCTGAAACATCCACAGCAAAATAAAAACAAGCAGCAACGGATGTTTTGTCTCGTCATCCCACCATCTTAAGCTTTCTAAAAAACACCTTAAAGAAAACCTTAAAGAACACCTAGGAGCTTCTTCATGGAAAAGTGCATGTGTTGAGCAGTTAGCCATTAATATTTCATCAATGCTCCATCAGGGCCGTAAACTTCATCTTCTCCTTTAATCTTAGCAAGTGAGTTCTAATTTGAATGAGCCAGAGCCTTAGTTTTCCAGAGGGCACCCTCGGTGGTCTTTAAGCTTGTGAAGAAAAACTGTTAAAAGTAAAACATAAAAGTATAGCGTTGAAGGAAAACAGTAAATCTATCAGGCTGATTTGAGAATGCCAACCACCACAGCGTGCAATAGGCCACAGACTGACGGGGGAAGGTCTGGGTGATGAGGGGGACCATGGGATCCAGAGCGTCTTACCATCAGTGGCGCCGCTCTCTGCCATCCCCGTTTCACAAGAAATTTGACGCATAATAATCGCGTTTATGAAGTTGGCCGCAGTCATGGTGGTCTTACCGAGTGCTCGGAGCTCTTGTTCCTGAGAGGACATCGCTTTGTTTTGAGTCTTTTCCCTACTAGGTGTACCGCTTTCTCCACGGCCGGGGGGGTTATCAGATTGGGGAGGGAGCAGGAGCTGGGGCCGACCGGGGGCCGAGGGGTAGGAGCCCGGGTACATTCCTACTGGGCTGGGGCAGGACAGCCTGGACTCAGATTTACCGGAGGGCCCGTGCTGGTCCTGCGCGTGCTTGGGTGGACCCCCCCTGTTCTTGCCTCCTTCGCGACCCTGCTCTTTGCCTACATTTGAGTCCATGGCAGTAGGATAGGTCTCCGGGGGCACGCCGGTCCTCTGGAGGTGGCCAGGATAACGTTGGTAGTGGGCCGGGCCTGAGGACATGGACCTGGCAAGACAAACAAAATGGGATTGGTTAAACAATGAAATGAGACCAGGAAAACAATGCTGTGTTGTTCTAAAATGCTGTTTACCGGAACACAGATGAGCCGTGATCACTGATAGAAAGACTTTTGCCCCCAGTGTTGTGAAGGACACTCGGCCTCTGCTGCACGTTCTCCTGGTTGCGAGGGGACACCGGGGAGTGCTGGTGGCTGTACGGTTGGGAGGAAGGTCTCGCACTGCTACTGCTGCTCGCCAAGCTGTGCTCGGTACCTGGGTCGCACAAACGCATTTCATTTTACAAATGCAATTAGTCTCCAAACTACACACGTTGGACTTGGGGCAGTTTCTGCTTCACACCTGGTCGCCAGATGGGGGCGTGCTCCACGTTTCCAAGCGAGCCGCCCTTCTCTCGGTCACGCTCCCGGTCCCGGTCTCTCTCTCTGTCCCTCTCGCGGTCACGCTCCCGTTCTCTTTCTCGATCTCTCTCTCGGTCGCGCTCTCGGTCGCGCTCTCGCTCCCTCTCTCTCTCTCGCTCTCGGTCTCTTTCCCGGTCCCTCTCCCGCTCTCTGTCACGCTCGCGGTCTCTTTCGCGCTCACGCTCTACGGCCTGCATCTTGTTCACGTGTGAGGACCCCACTGCGTAAGAAAAGGTAAGAAAAGAAAACAGTGAAACAAAAATAACAGTAAAACATATTTCATAAGTAGCACAGTCTGCTTGAGTGAAGGGAATTGTACCAGGTGAGATGGGGGAGGTGGTGTAAGGCCTGCCAGGGAAGGGGCCGCTTCCCCCGGGGATGTAGGAGATGCGATCCATTGGGGAACCAGCCCCCCCCGCAGAGGGAGGCACCAGGACAGGCAAGTGTGGCACCTGAGAAAGATCGATGATCCCTGGGAGACAGAGAGAGAAGAACGGTAAATTAAACCATGATAGTTATAACACACCCAATAACAAAGTCATTTTCCATCATCTTTTAATAGCAAATTTGAACAGAAGAAAACACACAAGCCAAAGTGTCGTGAAGTCCGTTAGCCTCACCTCGCGGGGCTGCAGAATAGGGCATTTGAAGGGGCTGGTCTCGAGGAGTAAGGCCCCTCAGCAGGTCCGAGCGCGGTGCCGCCATGGCAGCGGGCCACTGGTGCATCTGCTGCGAGGTGATGTAGTCATTGAGCAGCGTCTGCCGGTTTTCCAGGGCCGCCGTGTCGGGAAAGCCCCGGATGAGGTAGGGGTAAGAGTACGCCGGATTGGGTGCGAGGTGGCGAGGCAAGTAGTAGGTCGCTGTGTGTGAACAGAGAAAGAAACGTTATTCATCTTATGCAGCGATAACGCGCGGTTGGCCTTTGAGATTGGTCCGACTGTCAGAATAACTGAAACAAAGAAGATTCTCTTTGACCGTGGCTGTACCTGGATCCATGGGGATGCCGCGGTGCAGCGACGCGGGGTCGAAGGCTATGGGGATTTGACGGTACACGTCTGTGGCACCGAGACCCTGCAGCAGACGCTCATAGGTCTGTTGATCTGGAACACCTGGTAGGGGCGATTTGGTAGCGCTCATTTCTCTGGGGCTCGGCGTGGCTTTACGCTCCTGAGACGGATTCTTACCGGAACCTGCAGTTAAAACAAGGAAAAAGAATTTCAAAGGTCATTCTTTGTGGTGTGAAGGGTGATCTCTCTTGTTCGCCTGAATGGTATCCACCCACCGTCATGCTGCCTTTGGCTTGCCTCCCTGGACAGTGGGGAGCCACGGTGTGAAGGCCCCGGGTAAGGGGCCCTCAAGGCGCTTTTGTCCTCGTAGCCCACTGGACTGTGATGAGCCTTGCTTCCCTGCTCTGACCCCAGTGTAACGGGAGACGAGCGGGCTATGGTGCTAGCTGTACTGACCACCGCGCTGGGCCGCCCTTTTGGCGCCTCGTCGTAGCGGCCCCTCTCGGCCCGCATGTCCATGTGGGAGGGTGCGTTGTGGTAAGAACGTGGTGAACTGGCTATAATGGAGCGGACATCGTGACGTTTCCCTGAACCAGTTGGCTCCTGCTTCATGGGTGTTCCCTAAACACAACAGGAATTCACCGGTTTATTGTGGCCAATAACAGTCGGCTATAGTAATGAAACGCTTCGAAAGACAACGCAAAAGCATCGCACTATAAGAACAGGAGGCACAACGAAAGCAAGACAAACTAATTAAATATAACTTTAAAAACATTTTAAAAAGACAAAGCATGAATCCCAAAGAAAATCCTTTCGTGTGTGTACCTGTGCCATGATGCCCTCCTTGGCAGGCTGTCTGAGCTCCTCTCTGGGAATGAGGTGGATGGAGCGGCCAGCCTCCTTCACCGTAGGCACCATGGCCTCTCTGCCCTTCATCGCGTCGGAGAGCGAGCCGGGCCCGCGGGGCGGGGAGCCCTCTCGCTTCATCTGCTTGGCATCCCTCCTCGAGTAGACGTCCTGAGGGTCCAGATGACGGGGTATACCTTAAAACAGAAAAATCATGTCAATCTCAGCACATTTGAAACAAAAGTGTTCATATTTTAGCCGCAGTCTAAAATGATGAACACGTGAGGGTTTTGAAAAAGCAGCTTTGTTCACTAAAATTGCGGAGCGAAATGAGACAGGATGGTTAATCTGCAATTATGGCAGTCAGATAGACAACATGAGATCAACAAGTAAGTACACCTGCCAGCGAGTGAGCTCTGGTAAGCCGGCAGTCTGCTTCTTCAAAATAAAAAAGAAGACACTATCTTTGCTACAAGCTCTCGGCTTTGAGAGCACAATCTGATGTGATGAGTGAGAGAGCCTAAACCTTATATTTAAACATAAATAAAACATAAATCAATAAAAGTGTAATCCTACCTTGTGAGATGGAGCCACGGATGTGATGAGCATCCTTGTAAGGTGTGTGATGAGGACTGTCCCTGTCGTGAGGCATGGCTCGACCAATCAGACCTGAGGTAGGATGCAAGACTATGGTAAATCAAATGTGGTTTAACGAGGGTAAAAAGAAATAAGGGGGTTATTCCATTAGCCCTTTGTGAGCATGACACAGGGTTAAGGGGTCATCATTCACCTTCACAGCTGGCACCAGAGAGTGGATCCCTCAAAGGCATTCCTCTTGAGATGCCCCCCTCCATGATGTCATACGGACGCTTCAGGCCTAGAATTTCCCCAGACTGGCCTCGGCCCTCATCTTTAGGGGTCTGAGAAGCTGGGCCTATAGGTTACAAAATACCTCTTCAGCGTATAGCCAGTAATCAATGAAATAATAATAATTATTATTCATCTCATATATTCCGTTTGTTGGGAACGAGCCAGATCTTACAACGAAAAAGAAGATGGTAATCGTTGGCAATGGCGTAGAAAAATGTACCGCAGGCAAGCTGCTGTTCTTACGGTCGTATGTGAGAATGTGTCCACTGATGCCCTCATAGACCACATGGCCTTTGGACAGCGCCTCATCCCGCTCCCTCTCGGCCCGACTGGCGCTGTCCTCTGTGATCAGACGCGTTATGGTTCCCTTGTACAGCACATCCGCTGGCGTCCCCTGCGGCAGAGAGCGGAGACATACCTGCACTTAATCAGGACTCTGTTTCCATGACAAATTGCAGAGAGGACCAAAGAATTAATTTTCAAGACGGACTATTTTCAGAGCCGCCTTTACATTAGGTGGTAATGTATTATTTTATACTTATTTTATAATACCATAACATTACGTAAGTCACATAGAAAATCAATCAATGGTGAAAATAGCTCTCCAAACACGCTCATCCTTGTCAACTAAATACACAGGCTTGGAATGAACAGTCCCATAAACCCACAATTAGTCTTATGCGAATTCAGAAAAATACAGAAAATGTTGAAATAACATTCAGAAGTAAACTTTGATATGTTGCCAAAACTTTCTTTCTAGGAATAAGCCCTATCAAGAAACTGGATAAAACACTACAAAGCCCATTGTTATATAGCACAGTGATACTTAATAACTAATGTGTGTTCTAAAGGTACTTTAGATAGCTGCTTCGGAAGGCCTTTAAAGGCTCAGAGGTCAAAAACAACCTAGACTGATACTTTAATGACACAGATAGTGCAAGAGACAAGGAATAGTCTTTGTTTTTCTTATCAGGATCGTTGACTGGAAACCACTGTAAGCACATTAAGAAACATTTATTCTGTTTTTTAAATCCAACGTGAATAAATACATTAAACAAGCAGCTCTGAAACACAAAGTAGCACGATCTGAAGAACAACAGATGACACTGTGTGTCAAAACTCACCCCCCTCCCCCTCCCTGAGTACACTGAGGGGGAGTCCTACTTGTACTCTGCATGAGAGCGAGGGGGGAGGGAGGGGGGGGGGGGGGGGAACTTTACTGCCTGTGACCACATTTTGCGTCTATTTCCAAGAAAGGCCCGGGTGGAGGTTGAAGGCCACAGCAGTAATGTTTCTGTGTAATGGGGTGTATGTTAACAGGATCAGGTGGCTCTGGCTAAAGCTCTCCTTGTCTACTACCAAAGGAAGCGCAACATTGATCTATCTGGCTGCTAATCTGGCTGCAGGCTAAACAAACAGATGAGTTCCACAACGGCTCCATTATACTTTATCTCGTTTCCCTTACTAATCCATCGCGGTGGATAACTGCATCCCTCGACACTCGCTTTCTCCTGTGCATCAGTTGGGTGTGACATCGCAGTGAGCATATCAAAGACGTGGTCGAGCCAGCGTCTAAAATAAATAGATGCATAAAATGGGGAGGAGACGTGGTACAGTTTGTACCTGTTGCTAGGGTGACAGGGTCAGTCAGAGCAGTGTGTTATGTCACGGCAGCACGGAAATCCAGCAGCCACAGCATTTGGTTTGCCAAATGACGAGTGCTCGCTTTCATCATGAGGACTCAAATTCAAAGCCTGGTTACACAAAGCTACTAGTTTGATAAGATTGGATTCCAACGCATGGGGAGGGGCCAAATGACAGAATCGTTTTGGGCAAAAGCCAGATTTACAGCTACTATCATGAACTGTGACACACTTTAGCATATTCAGTCTCAGTTTACGGCCCAGAGTCTGACAGATAAAGCAAAACACATTAACCCGATTGTGCCACTCGGTGTTCTGAGGAGGAAAACCATGGGCAAGATCTATATTATAATTTGTTATCTCCTTAACCTACATAATGGCTCATTCACAATGGATGTTTTTTTTAAATGACTGTTTTATAAGTGACTGACTATATATACACAAAGGCTGTTCAGAGGTTCTCCAAATAAAAGGGGAAGATAAATGTTTGCCAGCAGTCTGTCGTAATGCACTACTCAGATTTCAACAGTCAGCAGAATATTCATAACACACTCGAATCCGGATTGCCACACCCAATACAGCGATAACAAACTGCACATATACAGATTCTGTTAGTGACAGGATCCCGCTAACAAATACAAAAGGAAAGAAAATACGTCTGAAACAAAATTTCTACAGCTGAAATGTTTTGTTTACATCACAAAATTGGATGAAGTCAATTCAATGTGGTTCTATCTTGCTGTACAATGTAGAGTAAATATAAGCACCCACAGCACATTTCTACTATTATTATCAGAGAGAGAATTAAAAAGAACATTATTGGACATTACTACAGTTTTAACAAGGGCCGCGCACAAGACTCACCTGAGTAATGGAGCCCCCTCGGTAGGAGATTGATGAATCTGGATGCATTCTGGTCCCTGGGATACCCTTGGTGATGCTACCTCCCTGCACCGCTGGAATAGATCCTGTGAAGAAAGCACAGTGTGTTAGGATACTAAGAAAGAAAAAGAGCATTAAGAGTACTTTAAATGGAACACAATCATTGTAAATAAAGGTTTGCAAAAAGCCTGTGTGTGTGGCTTGAATCAAGGTTCTATTTTCAGCATTATTCATAACGATAACATTCAGCTTTAGATGGTCTACTAATGCAAGAGTGAAAGCATGACTTTTTCAAGTTCCCCTATGTACAAAAAAGGAGAACTGTGATAAAACACACAGGCAGTAACTGCAGCTTTGAATGTCCTTGAGTTTGCGTCTTCCCGCTTTGCGCACATGGATCTGGACAGTTTCTCCCATTCTTCACATCCTCTCAAGCTCTGTCAGATAAGATCAGCTTCAACAAACTCTACTCTCTGCTGATTTCCAGTTGAGATTTAAGTTTAGCCCGGGCCACTCAAGTACATTCAGAGACTTGTCCCAAAGTGGCTCCGGTGTGGTCCTCGCTGCGAGCCTCAGGTCACTGTCATGCTGAGAAGGTTAATCTTTTCAGCATGACAAAGCTGAACCAAACATGTGGGAGAACACATGATTTTACTTTGTTATTCAAGGGCACAGCAGTGACATTTAGATCTGATTGTTTTCCAAGATGGATGGTATAATTCTAAATTTCCTAGACAGGGAAAGGAGCGTAGCAAAAGCACCAACACCGGTTTATTGTCCGTGGAAATCAAAATAAAGACACTGGGAGCTACGCACCACGTCCTGCGGCGATATCATGAGGCGACCCCTGGGATGAAAGGTTGTCCGCTTGAGAAGATGAGCTGCGAGGAGACAACTGTTCCTGCTTTATGACGGGAAAAGCACCTGCTGCACAGTTTAGACAAACAGAGGAACGGTCATTAAAGAGACGTTTCTATGGTGATGCACAAGACTTGCAGTGGCGAGGAGGGTAGAAATGGATGGCAAGAGTAAAGGAAATTTGAAGCGCACTAGACACCCTGCACAGTTGTTTTTGTTGTTGTTTTTTTGTTGTTTGTTTTTACTTACCCACTTTCCTTTGATCCATCCAAGACAGACCCATTTGAGTGGGGGTCATCTTCCCATGGTCCAACCCGTGAGCTGGGCTGTGCAACTGCACCGGGGTGCCCTGAAGAAACAAAGGGTGTGATGGAGGACACAGACTCGGTTCCATTGTTTCTGCGGGGAAAATAAGAGCTTGTAAAATCCGTGGTCTGCATTTGTGTGGTGCTATACCTGTGTGATGGAGCCCCCTTGCTTGGTAGAGGAAATTAGCGGCGGAGGCTCTGGCATCGTGAGGGGTCTCACTGCTGCCAGCCTTCCACTGTCCTGTGGCAGGTTAGGGAGTGAGGGGTGGCCGGTCTGCTGGAACGCTGGAAGGCAAAAGAGAGAAATGATGAGGTTTTCTTCTTTCTTGTCATAAAATATTCAACGCGAAGGACACCCGAGGCTTCGTTAAGAAGCTGAAGACTGGGCGGCCCGGGATAGAGGACTCACAGTTGAAGTGCAGCAGGTGTTGGTCGTGACTGATCTTGGCCATGTCTCGTGGGGACATGGGGTAAGGGGAGAGAACCTGTCGGCCCAAGTTGGAGGTCCTCAGGTCATCGGGGCCGAGCGCCTGCTTCTTTGCTTCACCGTGCGGGGAGAAAGCCCGGGACTTTTCTGCAACAACAACAGACCGAGTCAGGACCTAAACCACAACACCAAGTTAGACCTGCACTAATCCAAGAAGCGGCCCTTCAGCCGCAGCCTCCTGATGTCAACAACATCAGCTCCAATGAGATTGTTGTCTATGAGCACGTGGAACACCCTCACGCCACTTCCCAGCCAGGGTGATATCATCAAGACTAAATTAATATGCCAATATACACAACAGGCCACTGCTAATGTTTCAAGTACACACAATAAAAGAGGAGATGATCACCCTGCAGTGTGATTAACGTGTTATTAAAAAGGGAATGTTGTGGCAAGGGGTGAACCTACTTAATCCCTGCAGGAGGGTCAGTAACCACCTCTCGTTGCCTTCCAGCTCTGAAGGGACACAAACACACCACAGATCATCGCATCCTCACAGACTTTACTCTCTCACAAAATAAAATCATGCACGAACTGCAAAGACACTTCGCTACAGTTGCAACATGGTGCGACTTTTGTTTTCACCAACAGCCAAAGGGTGTTAAATAGTAGCAACAATGTAGCTTAGAAATATATCACACCTGCCTCCGAGCCAGACACTGCACAAAGAGCCCTTTAAGCCGTTTCTCTTTTATAAAAATGCAGGAAAAAGTGGGTGCTGTTTGTTAAGAGTACACAGCTGCCGCGGTGCCCAGTTGGTTGTAAAAGACACGACGGTTGCTTAAAGTATGACACTGTACTTTCAGAGACCCAAACTCCACAAGCTCACAGTAACTGCACTGAACTAGACTATATTCCCTTCTGGGTCAATAGCAATACCAGATCATTTATCAGTTCCCTCCACGCGAGTGTCCCAGAAACACTTGAATACCCTAAACACTAGAGAACACCGAATCAAGGTTAGAGCAAGTAGCAGGGACGGTAGTAAAACTAGATCAAATGCTACTAAAATGGCAAATTACACAGCATTAAGTTCCGCTTTCTTCTCAAACTATTCCCGAGTCCTCTGCTCATCTTGTGGTCATGATTCCAATTATCCTTCATTCTAAACCAACTTGTGTATGTACCATGTTGACACACATGCATACAGCCGGTAGAACAGGCAGATTAGGGGCCAAAGAGAAAGGAAATCATTGCATGGGAAAGAGACCAATGCTGGCGATTGTGGGAGGGGTTCATATATTTGTAACTCTAGCTTCCTAAACATCCTATACTATCTGTCAAAACTATTTGATTGGTGAAGTATTGATGCGACGGGTGACTTCTTTTGGGCGTGCTGGAGGTGTGCGTACCATCCTTGTCACTGGTGGAGGGGCTGCGGGAGCGGACATGAGGACTGCTGCTGTGGAGAGCCTCCCTGTCTCGCTCTGCCTGCAAGGTGTAGGGCTGCGGTTTGCCTGGCTGGCCTGGAAGCTGCTGCTGCTGCTGCATTTTGACCTCCTGAGATGACTCCCCATGAGCCATGGTGATCTGTTGTTGGTACAATGCCAGGGCATGAGGGGGCAGCACTGCCTTGCTACCTCCACTCCGCTGACTGCCTGGCATGGAGGCTTCTGGCATCTAGGATGAGGGAGAGAAAAAAGGTTACAATCACAGCTCACGCATAACGCTGGCACACGCCTTCCTAGCAGCTGACATATGGTGAGCTACGTATGGTATCTGATAAACATGATAGCTTATAAACATCGCTTATTTCTTTGTTAAGTAAGTTCTTCTCCACAAAGCACTGTTCCCAATCATTTTCCATCCCAATGCCTTATTTTAAACAAACGCGACAATTTCACCTGCTATATTGTTTTTGCTGCTAGCAGAGACAGCAATATCATTGATACCACTGTAATGAATGTGTGAGTGAGTGAGTGAGTGAGTGAGTGAGTGAGTGAGTGAGAGAGAGACAGAGGGCCAATCAGTTTGATACAAAACCCCAACTTGGTCAGAGACAGAGATACTCTTTAGCCATCTGTTGTGTGTTGGGTGAGTGAGAAATGAAAGACACAATTCAACTAGTGACTCACAATAGGAGGTATAGCGGCAGCCCTCTGTTTGAGCTGTTTCAGGTCCATGGGCTTCTGCAGCGGGGAGGAGATGACGCCATCATGAGTGTAGTTCAGCAGACTCGGCCGCGGGGATGTCATTCTATGCACACAGAGAGAGGAAGAAGTTTGTGCCTTCTCGTATTGGCTTTGCTCCCTTGATCCCGGACACATTGCATTAGGGTTCATAGATATATTGTTTTGAAATTCTACAAAATGTGAATATATTTTAAAAGATGGCAGAGGTTCCGATTGAGTTCCCGTCCCACATGACTGCCTGACACAGGACACAAACCCTCAGTCCAAAGTATTTAAGTGATCAAATGATGGCAAGAGACGAATACATGGGATAAAAGTGTGTGTGTGTGTGTGTGTGTGTGGTTGTGTGGGTTTGTCTCTGTGTGTGTTGACAGACCGATACTGGAAATGAATTGCAAGTAAAAATCCATATCTATGTCTCTCAAATCTATAGAAAGCACACAAAATACTCATCAGACAGACACACACTTCGATGCACACCAGCACTAAAGTGCAAACACACACACACACACACACACACACACACAGTCCCTTTGTTTGCTTTGGCAGTGAGGGCAGCTTTCCCCCCGGCTTTGCCAGTACATGCAGTCTGCTGTCATGGAAAGAATCGAACAAATACCGTGCAAACACAACCAATCACTCCTCCCATGCACTTTGACACCCATTCCTTGCGACCTCATTCATATATTACACACACACACACACAAACCTATATAATCTTGTATACAACCTCTCAGACATACATACACGTACATATGTATGTATTTATACAAAAAAAAATCTTAATATAAATCTCTTGATAGAAAACAGCCATCTGTGGTTTACAACAAGTGGTTTGCCAAAAATGGGTTTGCTCCTGTACAGTGTAGCTAGGCAACTAACAACACTTCAAAACCCTCGCTGCCGTCTTTTCTTGTATCTGCTGTGGTACACCACAGTAGTAGGACACAATAAAACTACTGCTCAAAACCAAAAGCCCTTTGACACAAATAATCTGGAGGCCCAATGATTTCACCGATATGAAAACATCAAAGAAATAGCAATATGTGATTCAAAAAGGTGAGACATTCTGAAAATAATTACAACTAAATCTCTTGCTACAAACTGACCTGTTCTTGTCTGGGTTCTCCGTCTCCTCCACTTCATCAGCGCTGCAAGTGGCACTAGAGTCACTGTCGCCATGGGAACCGGTCCTGGGCCCGTGGTCCTTCCGGGAGTTCTTGCCGGAGCTTTTACCTTCTTCCAATTCTGCAGTGGGAGGTTTTTTATCGATGGCATCGCTGGGTGAAGTTGGCTTCAGCTGCTCTTTGCTAGGCTCCCCTGTCTCAGTCTTTATCTCCTGCTTGATGGCCGACTCTGCATCTTCCTTAACTGGAGGTTTCTCCTCCCCGGCCTGGCCCACGTCTGAGCCCGCCGCCTCCTTGTCCCCGGTGGCGGAGCTGCCCTTTGACCTACTCGAGCCTTCCTCCTTCGCCTTGCTGTCCTCTGATGAATGTGGCGAGGGCAAGCTCTCCGTATCAGAACTGTTGTTGGCTCCACCTGGCAGGGACAGAGGACAAAAGGAAACACAGGTCAGACAACAAGACTGGGCTTATACTGCAAGTTCTATTCCTTTGTCCTTATTTATTTCACCCCCCCCTCCCGTTGCTTTCTGCTAAACCAGATTCTTCCCAGTGCCAGTCTTCTACCTAATCAGGTTTCACTGTACAATAAGGAGGAACTCAAAACCAATTGGGATGATGGACAAAATCCCCCGGGGCTTTAGCGCTCTATTGTCACTGTGCGGTCTACAAAGTCTACTTCTGTCGACAAAATAAAGCAGGATATTCAGGATGCTTAAATATTTGTCATGTATTTTATTTGTTGTATTTCAGAATACTTACGAGTAAGGATTATGTAAAATAACATTTTATTAGAAAGAGTACAATTATTATATTGTTCAAGAAGAAAATTCCCTCAGTTTGTGAATGGAGGTTAAATAGAGAGCCTTTTGATTTAATTTTGGCAATTAGCATGTAGCTCTTGGTAGTGATGTACCTTCTCCATCTTCAGGGGCCTCCTCCTCATTGCCACTGGCTCCTGAGCCCTCCATTTCGTCCTCTTCTGCAGTATACGGGGCACTGGTCTCCTCATTCTGCGGGGCTTTGGCCTTGCGACGGGCCTTTCGCTCTTTCTCCTGGGTCAAAACAAAAACACTAAATAAAAACAGCCTGGGGAGGCAAAGAAATCTCCAGATTCTGAAGAAAACCCCTTCTATAATCCCATAGCTTGGTCGTCCACAAAACACTCAAATGACAACAACTGTCCCTGAGTTTACCGATTTCATTTTATGCTGCTGCAGAATCTCATCCAGTTTCTGCCTCTTCTTGTAGTTGAAGTAGAAGTTCTTGCACTGTGACACGGTTTTGGATCCAACCATCTTGGCGATGGCGGACCAATTCCTACCATACTGGAGAAGGCCTGGACATAACAGATGGACAGGCAGGGGGATTAAGACAGGACCAGAGACAGCTGCACATGGTTGACATGGGGCCTTTCAGGACTACTACGTCTCCACTCCATATCAAATGATATTCTCTTTTCAGTTGTAAAAAAAACAAATGATGCAAACTGGGAAAAGGGCAGTTGGTGTAAAGATTGTAAGTAAAATGGTTATTTATTATTTTGGTTTACGTACCATAATCACTACCTCAAAACCCAATCTAATCTATTCAAGTGTACAGAATGAAAGTCTCTCAATGATACGTCAATAGCCCTAAACAAATAGCTGTTAAAACAGTGTCACAGCCTGGAGTTTAGTTTAAGATGCAGCATACTCCCAATAACAGCAAGGAAGCAATAACAAGTAGAGACAGGGAGGGAGACAAGAGTGGAGGAGTAAGAGAGAGGGAGCATGGTGGCTGGAACCGTCACTCATATCGATGACATCACCGACTGTCCCAATTGGGACCGAACGGCGTCAAATCCTGACTCACTTTGATGTGATCCAGTTCCAAGAAATTCTGGTATTTTACCGTCAACCACATGATTGTGCCTTACGGTCTACGGGCCCCCCGCTGGGCCCTGAGCCGTGATGGATCAACCATCACAAAACGAACACACGCTCACGTACACAGCCGATCGCGGCTTGAGTGCTTAAAAAAAAAAAAAAAAAGAGAGCGATGAACGGCGCAGTCAGTGTGTAAAAGTGCAAGTGAGTGAGGAAGATAGATAGCGTAGACTTTGCTCCAGAATCCCCCCCCACCGGCCCCCCCTCCCAGTCTGCTGTTAGCTAAAGGCAGCTCATTAACAGTGTATGTTGTAAGAGGCTTAGCTTACGCCACCCACTTGTTTCCTGTGCCAGCCTGACGGGTCCTGGCAACAGGACAGCCTCTCAAAGGGGTTGTGAGGAGGGAAGGGAGGGGAGTTATTAGCAGGCACAGAGCCAACCCCTCCTGGGACAACCTCGGACATGGGTTCAAAGGTCTCTGCATCTCATCGCTTAATGGAGGCAGTGGGACAACAAGTCGGAGTTGGAGCCAAAGGAGAGGAAGGGACAGCTTTTAATCAGAGAGAATGGCTGAATTATAATATTAATAAGTAAAGGCTGCAATAAAAGCTGCTCCGTTAGTTGTTTACTGGTTTAACTTTTACAATAACGTTCAGACGATTGAATTTATTTAGGTGAAATTAGGAAGATGCATGTGAACAAGCCACGCAAAATACGATTAGGAATGCCAAAAGAATGTTTCCAAAATGGCCGGAAAGCTGTGCAACTTCAAGCAGATGTGGGGAGACGTACAATATTCACGGTCATGCTGAGAGTTTAATAACGTCAGTATAAAAAGAACTACCATAACAAGAAACGGTGATCTTCAAGTCTGAGCTGCTGGTGTCTAAAAGCTGCTGTGCACCTACAACCTGTCAAGTGTTAAAGTGGAAGAGGTTTTTCAGCTGAAATATTCATCGCTGCCACTAAAAGGCATCGCTAAGAATGCTTCTCCAAGGAAGAAAAGCGTAGCGAGCAGCCGGACATGTTCCAAGGGTCGGAGACACATGACTGACACTTATTAACCTTTTACAGCTGCCTCACGAGAGGGGGGGAGGGGGCAGACTGCAACACGGAGGGTGTGTGGCCTGTATGGCACACAAGCGCGCTCAGAAGAAACAAAACAGCGGCATTGTATAACACGCACATTCAAACGAGTAAGTCAAATGTTGCTGGACCCTTTGAACCTGGACCAATATTAAAGTAATGAATTTACAGAAAGTCAAAGGTCACTTTGTTGTGACCTCTAGCCACGTCCATTTTTGTCATTCTATGCAAGCGCTAGCGGTACAATCCTGAAGCAGCTCTGGTTGACTCGGGGCCTTCGTTGCTGGAGAAACGCACAAGGAGCAAACATCCAATCAGCAGAAGCGATACTGAAGCATGTGGTCACCTCACAGCCAATCACAACACGGTATTTCCACTAGCTCCTCCCAGAGAAAGTCAAATCAACACCTGGTGCAGCCAGAAAGTGGTTGTTCCTGTCTGTCACATGCCTGTCGGTCCGGCGGCCGCCTCGTGGCCCTGCTGTGGGTCGCAGTATCAGACGGTCTGATCTCTAGAGGGGCCGGCCGGGAAGCTCTTCAGGGCCGGGCCTTCCGATCCGGAGCAGAGGAGATGAAAACAGCTCAGACTCGGCGCTCTTCCTGCCAGCTGGCTTGTTACTTGAGCCGGTGTCGGGTTGGTTTGCTCCAAAACAGCACATGCTCCTGCCCCCCCCCCCCCCCCCCCTCCTTTTCCTCCCGCTCGGGCCTCCGGGGAGCGCCGGTCTGTTCTTCTCCGCCGTGTCGGTCCCCAATGGGGGGCGTCCGGGGAGACTTTCACAGGGAAGTGGGACTGTTGGGCGGTGCTATGTGCTCAGCCTCGCTCTCCCCTCATCTGAACTCTTCTCTATCTCTCTCTTTTTTTTTTCCTCCCCTCGGCCCGTCTCTCAGTACGTCCCTCCCCCTGCCTCAGTCTGCCACAGGGACCGCGGAACACACACACACAAGTGAGTACACACTCACTTGAACCCTCTCTCTCTCTTGTTAATACTCTAGCACACAGACGCAAACACACAGTCAGGCAGTCCAAGAGAGCAGTGAGAGAGAGAAAGGCAGTCCAAGAGAGACAGAAGGGGGGGAGGGAAGAGAGAGAGAGAGAGAGCAGAGCCCGGAGAAAGGAAAGATATAGAGAGAGCAGAGCTACCGAGCCAGAGTTTAACAATGGAGCAAAGGATACAGAAGTGGAGAGTAAGCAAAGTGAGAGGACGGGGCGGACGGGTGGGAGGGAGATGGGGGTGGGGGGGGGGAATCAGTTGATGTTGATACCATGAGAAAGCATAAAGGCTTTCACATTTTTCCTGACTGACCCGCTTTTCATCTTGAAAGTGACCTCTGAGTGAGTGGGGAAAAGAAGCGCTTGCCAAACCTTCCGCAGCCTTTGCCAATCAGCTGCACGTGCACACAGCTTGGACCAGGCGCGCACACACGTACACAACCTTTTTTGACACACACACACACACACACACACACACACACACACACACACACACACACACACACACACACACACACACACACACACACACAAATACATACAGGCAGGCACAACTGGTGGGTTTAAGAGAGGCTTTACAAAGACCGGCCGTCCCGCGTATGAAGCACCAGTTTTTACGCACTATCCATGCCATCCTGCTGGCTGGTGCTGCCAGAGCACTATAAATGCATTTATTCAGATCGGTTTGGCTCAATTGGATAAACACATTAGCATCAGGACACCTAAGCCTCTTTAAAACACATATACATGTCAAGCACCTGCAAGGGAGAGCCACATGACGAGCTCATTCGATACTATGGGAAAATGGAGTTGGGGGGGTGGGGGCTATGATCATGGAGCGCGAGCTCTTGGAAAGGGAATCCCCTTCGGCAGGTGTAGGGGTGGTTGCCAGAACCGATGAAAAACGGCGAGAGCAACTCCTCCTCTTTCGGCCTTCAGGGCTGTAAGTAGGGCTCGGGGGTTGTGGTTACGTAAACCCTTCATAGGAGCCCTGCTCCCACCAAGCTGCCGGGCTAATCCGGTGGGATGGAGAGCCCCACTAATCCCACTGCGAGAGAATGGAACTGAAGACATTAACCAGGATTACTACACAGGACTGTGTTCAGGCCAGCGCCAGTTTGCCAAAAAAAAAAAAAAACCTATAGCACATAAACCCACATATACATGCTAACTCCAAATCGGAAAAGACACCACGAGGACAGCAGGAGACTGATGGGTAATTGTTAACCAAATGTGGTTTCAATATCCCGCTCAAGCTGCTTGCTTGCAGCAGGCACTTCATCCAGTGTTGAGTATAAGGGAAGACAGATTAAGTTAGTCAGATGCAGAAGTCACACAAAGAAGGATGACTCATCATCTACTAATGGCTCCAAAGCAGCAGCCACCCTGAAATTGCGTTGTTTCGAGTACATAGAGCTTCAACAATACAAGACGGTACTCGGCCACTTAAGACCAATATTTAGTAATACATCAAATGAAATAAAATATATTTAAATCCACTGCTGGGAATGGCGTTTGCCAAATCAAGTAGTCAAAGATAAATATATATCTATGAAACAATTGCAACAAAATCCTGTTTAGGGGGAACATGTAAATCTAGCTGATCAGAACCGAATCGACCCTTGATCTGGTGCAACACATCAGTGGGAAACTTCCAAAAAGCAGCACGCATTACAAACCCCTAAAGATGAGCGGATCATTTCAATAGCTGAGACTCATGGACAGCACGCAACCAACGCTGTCAAAACACACTCACACAGAGTGCTGGAAGAATGGGCGGAGGGTCAGCGACCTCTGTGAATCAGCCATAGGCCTGCAGGTAATCTTCAGTCATGTCGAGTTAATGACTGCCGCATTTGCAGGGGGCTGGCTGATAAGAGGTAGACTTTACAGCCTGCGTGATAAAGAAAGGTAGGCCGCTTTGACCCAGAGAGACTCGGGGAAACGGCTCCAAAGAGCAACGCGTCCAACCTTGGCAGGCTGACGCATCGGAGCAGAGACACAACCTAGCAGCACGTGGCGGTCGTTGCACAAACAGGAAGTCGCAACCGCATCACTCGTTAAACAGTGGGTGAACTGCAAAGAGTGGTAATTCCATCGGCGACTTTATAATACACAGCGACTAGAATGTATTACTACTTCGCAGGGAGAAGAAAGGTTTACAATTCATTACCTTTTTTGGCAGTTTCCATCTCTTCTTCAGTCCAGCGAGAGCTCTCATTCATTTCCAGGTTGGCTGTTAGAAAAAAAAAAAAAATAGAGAAGCGCTGAGTGAGAGAAGGCGGGAGGAGGGGTGAGTGGGCAGTTGCCACAAAATCAGTTAGGGAGTGACAGACAAGAGGAAAATAAGAATTGGAAGAAAGGACAAGTGGGTGGGGGGCAGGCCAGCTCGTGCTGCTTGCCATCGAGGCACTTCAGCGAGGGGCGCTGAGGACGGTTTGTTTTAGGCGGAGGAAGCAGGAAATCCAAGAGAAGTCAGTTAATGATTATAGACAAAACAACTGGGGTTCTTTCTCCGCATGCCGGACCGAGCCGGCCGCGCTTGCAGACCGGCTCCCTTGTCCTCTACGAGGCCCGCTGAAGGGCACTGTGGGCCGGCGGGGAAACTAACTGTTGTGGGAACTGCCGATGAGAGCCACAACAGTCCGAGTCACTGGGGGATTCCCTGTGACTAAAACTGTGCTGCAGAAGCTACCGCAGCAAGCACGCAACGAAAAATACCTGATCGTCTGCACCAAGAGTGTGCATGGCTGACTTGCCATGTGTGACGATACAAGGAGCTAAGATGGGAGTGTGTGGGGGGGGGGGACCGCTGAGAATGAATATTTCTGTACTCTTATGCTTTTTGATTTAAATTGCGGCTAATCATGTGTAGCCACAACGTTTTGATGTTGGGCTTTCTTGTATGCCATTTATGAGTGTCAGTTTGAAATAGAGAGAGTGCAAGACCGAATGGGAATTAGTGGACGAAGACAAAAGGAACAACAGTGCACTCTTGTGGTGCGTGACAAGGGGCCAGAACTAGATCAAAGGTGTCACTCCTTCACCCATTTAGAAAACACGTAAGTTTCCTCAGTGTATTATGTGTGTTTATTAGCTATATATAATAGTTTAACTGCTATTCATTTCCACATCACCCTCTCTACAAAAATACACGTGCCTGCAGCCGCACGTTAAATGTTGCAAGGCACTGAGACTGACCCAGCTCGTTGTTGAGTGGCGGCGTGGCGGTCTCGTCCACTTCGCTGGTCATGGAGCGGGTGATTCTGCCCTTGCGGCGCCCCTGGCTGTTGGCCGTGCGTCGGCCCTTGAAAGCCACAGCGGGCTCTTTGTCCTCGGCATCTTCTCCAGAGGTGTCGTCTCTGTGTGTGAGAAATGTCAACACGGTCAGCAAGAGAAACGGGGGGGGGGTTGACGGTGTGCAAATGAATGCAGGTTAAGAACTGTAAAAAACTGAGAGGGAACGTGGTCCTGTTTGCAAATTTGGATACAACCGTATTGCTTAAATATGTGCAGTGCTGCTATCCGGTCAGTCCCAAATGCAGCATTTACAAGGCATTGGACAGGACAGCGCTACATGTTGGTCTGCATGAGGACAGGTGACTACAGATTTCTTCACGAACTTGAAAGACAAAACATTAAAAGTGTATACAGACTCTTCTTTTCTCCCTTTCTTTTGCTCAGAGATAATTGATTGCGTGTCAGCACAATGGCATGCCAGGAGACAGCCATGGAGTTTGAACCCACTGCTCCTCAATTCATCTTCCCCCCCTGCACCATTAATCTTGCTGAGAGGAGCCGGTGGCTCTCTAAATATAGGCGGGCCAGCTGTGCCAGCGACAAGCAGGCAGCAGAGAGCACCGGGAGTCACAAAGTCCCCTGGTCCCGCCTCAGAGCAGGGAGTCGGCCAGTAGGGCTGTCACAATATCAATCGGCCGGCCCGGGAGGAATGCAGGGCGGCGGGCGTGGAGCCGCTGCCTAAGCCCCACCTCCGACAATGAAAGCAGACAAGAGGGAAGCACGATCAACTAAAATGTTGGGGACGTTCATTTATATGTAAAATGAATATTGCACCACCAAAAATCATTGCACCCATTCTCCTATTTTGTGCGATAAGTCAATATATTGCATGTGGCGACAGGCCTATTGGTCAGCAGTGCCTGGTCTTCTTCAAGGCCGACACGACTGCTGAAAAACATGACCTGCTATAATTGAAGCGAGTGCAGTGCCGACATCATAATATAGTGTGTGGACACATACATAAGACTGTTTTCATTCACACACACACGTTTCAAATGTACAGCTTTCGTTGTACTGATTATTTCCCCCCCCCCCAAAAAACTCTGACTGATAGAAGTTAAAAAAGAAACTTGGCATCCGATTGGGAAGAGGAAACGCATTGACAGAAAAACAGCTGTTTTAGTTGGGGTAAAAAAACACTTTTGCAGTAGATGTGGTGGAATGTCTGGCTGGAGGTGAGAGAGCTCCAGGGTTACAGAATGATCGAATTCACAGAAAACGGTCCCGCCCGCCAAAACGTACTCCTACGCCATCTGACCTGAAGCAACTATAAAAAGTGTGTTTTGGAGGAATGGGGCAAAGGGAGAGTATAGTTGCAGCTGTAACAGTCTTGCTCAGACAATGTGGCTGTATCTATCCCTCACTCTGTCAACGTGCTTTTCTAACGCACAATGTGAGGTGAGGAATTCAACAGGAAGGTTTGCTCAGTATTAATAACTCACTTCATTCCATCTTCCTTTTCTTCAGGTTCATTTTTGTCTTCATCCCGCTCCCCCTCCTTCTCTTTCTCCTCCTTCTCCTTGTCTTCCTGGCTGCCCCGGTGCACTTGTTGTTGCTGCTGCTGCTGTTGTTGCTGCTGTTGCTGTTGTTGCTGCTGTTGCTGCTGCTGTTGTTGTTGCTGTTGCTGCTGCTGCTGTTGCTGGCCGTGCTGAGAGAGAAGCAAACAACAAAGCACTCCGTTAAAACAACGGACACCCTTCCCTGTAACGCTATTCACTATTGGACCCACAAACTGGACCAAAGGAAATTATATTTAGTTTGCTATAGAAAGTAACTTTCACTTAAGCAGATTGTTCCAATATCTTAGCTTTATTCACCAGCAACAGCTTCTTTTTTTGCCTGTAAACGGTGGGTGAGAAAGCACTTCCTGTAGCAGATCTGATATCTAAAACACTTTTCAGACAAATGTACTCTGACCATCCAGCATCATATGATGTGTAAACCGCACCAACAGTTGTATCTTGACGCTCCAGAAGTACAGAATAGTTTCTAAGCTAAAAAAATCCTTTTTATTTTCTGCACGGACAAAACAGGATACGAAAGTTCAAAAATATGCTCTTTAAGCATCCAGAACCACTTCCTCACCAGTGTTCCTGTCTGTCTGGACTTTTCGGTTTAGAGTTCATATTAGAGTAGACATGTGACCAGAACAACTTCAAACACTGCTTAATATTGACACGCTAAATCTAATCACAAGTGTAGTTACTCCACTAGAGCACTGAATGGAAACAAGCCTTAACCAGGCTGGAAACACGTAAAACTTTAAGCTATTACTTATCCCCTCTAGCGGTCCTTTACCAAAACATAATCTCCATTAGCATTTGAGGTCATTCTGACACATTACACTGCACTTTCTGCTCCTCCTCTCCCACCACCTCCTTCTAAGAGCACTCTTACTGCTATCTGCTCCCCCAAAAGATGTGAAAGCAAAGCGGCGGGTAATGAGCAGAGATTTCTTCTGGAAAGATGAGACGACACCGTCCTCGTACCCACAGGAAAAGGTTGGCAGCGAATTAATGTGATATTTATTTAGCACCAACACCATGAATTATAACAGCTAGCACCTGATCTGAGGCGATCTACCAACTGGGAGCTCATTAGCAATAGAAATTAAAATGAAAAAAAAAACATTCATTATGGAAATAGTGGTGACATGCTGGGGTTGAGCAAATTGTGGCAATTTATCAGCCCGTGTGTCACCTTTGCTGTTTAATTAATTAATTCAAGGTATTCTGAGGTTTCAACTAGCTCACTGCCTTCAACTCTGCATCCAAATAAATCCTCTGCTCTTCATGTGGGGAAAATCAGGAAAAGTCACTCAAGTTACATTCAGTGTAGATGAGAAAACCAGGGGATGAGTTAATGTTGCTAGTTCCCACCAAACTAGTTTAATAACAGGGAACACAGCAGTCCTAGAACGTTATGACATGAAATAGAAAACAAGTTTTTCCCTCAACTAGCAAATAATATTAGTCAGCTACGTTACTGCAGCGGTCTTCTTGGTTTTCTAGAAAGGCCAGCAAAGCGAGCAAAGCGTGCAGGGCGATTGGACTTTGACTTAAAGCATCTTTTAAAACTATTAGCTTGAAAGGTGAGAATACCTGGCTCCTTCCTCGGCGTCTGTAGTTCCTCCGCACTATGTTCTTATAGTTTTCATTCTTTTTGGTCAGGTAGTAAAAGAGCACACACTCCGCCACCGTCTGAAACATTCACAGAAAGTTTTTTTTAAATGATCATTTCCTGACAGAAATGGATTACTCAAAACATGATTGTGTGAATAATACCTTTCTCTCCAGAAAAGACGCAATCAGACCAAAGTTTTTGGGATGCTGGATGAACCTTTGGGAGGAAAACAGAAAAAAACTCAATAAAAACAGAACATTTGTTGCAAAACTCAAAGAGAAGATCAGAGAAAAACCGATGATGAAAATTCATTCATCTGAGTTACATATATATAGCATTAATCCTAGATAAACCCCTAAAACATTAAAACAATTACCTAAGTAACCAATCAAATGCAAGTGATCAAATATCTTCCTTTTTGCGATTTAAATGTTGAGAAAAAGAAACTGGAGCTCTTCTTTTTGCATATGGTGAGACTTTAAAGTCAATAATTCAACAGCGTGGGCTTGATCCGCTTTGGCAGCGTGAAATGCTTCCTCTTGTTTCTCACGAGAGGGAGAGAATCACTTCCTTACTAAAAACGTACTGAGCATTTATCAGTCACCCGAGTCCCCACACGGAGAAAAAGACATGCTTCAATCCAAAAACATGGTCTACAAAGAAGATACTTTAGGAATAGAAGTTTACAGAGTTTACTGATAAAAGCGGCCTTGTCATACATTGTACTATTGTTGGACAATCTCGGTGGGTATTTGGACCCCAAAAAAACAAACCTAGCTGATAGGAAGCAAAGATTAAAGAGGGATATTTTTCTGTTCAAAGAAAAGCAAATGTCCACATCTGTGACTTCAATGAGCTGTTGAGCTTACTTCTCTCTGAAAGTGTCCTTCTCCTGCTCACTCCACATGTTCATAACCTGCCGATCCTTGTACACCTTCATGGGGTCATCCATCAAACCGTTCATGTTGATGAACTTGATGCGCTGCTGCTCGGCGTCAAAGAGCATCGGAGGGATGACCGCCAGCTGCCGCATTTGCTTCTCTGTGTTCTGATGTACACCAATGACACACACACACACACACACACACACACACACACACACACACACACACACACACACACACACACACACACACACACACACACACACACACACACACACACACACACACACACACACACAGAGAGAGAGAGAGAGAGAGAAACCAGCATCCTGGAGTGAGTGGGTCGGTCTGGAGAAGGAAACTATCTGACAGCATAGTGCTTATATTGACATGTACTGTATGAAAGCCGTCCCGCCTTTCAAGAGTTGGGAAGATAGGCGAGCAGGTTTAGGGAAGTTTTCACCCAGTCAGCAGCCAATGTATACTCTCACTTTCTTGTCAATCCTCAATTTCAAACCATTACACAATCCTACAACTGAGACGAGGCCTTTGGGGAAGGAGGGGTACAGGGAAGGCGTTGTGCTAGCTCGAGGAAAAGCTTTTCAGTTGAGGCAACCCAATTGGACACAGTGCTCAGCTTAGTGGGACCCGGCGGACGTGAGAGGAAAAGGTCTAATCACTATCACGGATTGTCTGCTCAGGCCATTGTCCTCCTGAAAACAGAGCTCACGTTGTGAGTCGGGACACCTCAAGCCCGACAAGTGAATTGTAAGCAAGACGTTGGTGCTTCTGGTGTTTCGGTCAGCGTCTTTGCTATTTGCAATGTTAAGTTTCCTTTAATGGAAAATATGTGTCAATTTGTCTGAATTTGGTTTCAACTTGACGTGAAATTACCTTTTTTTTTATTAATAAAAAAGCACCCGTGGGAACAGCTTAAATAGCAGGAGTTTGGGAGGTATCCTTCAAACTCAAGTTAAGCCGAATTGGATTTACATAATTTACCACCACTTTAACAAAAAATGCTTTCTTTGGCGAGACTGACACCTTTGATGATGAGTTTTCCAAAAGCAGCCAATTCTGCAGACTAATACATGGCTTAGATTCTACATCCCATGCTGGTATTTCCCATTCTCTGCCTTGAAGTCTACGTTCATCGTAATTACGTATATGCAAAATAAAAGGAATTCAATTGAATTGAAAGGGAAGGAAAAGAGAAAAGGCCGTAAATCAAAGACAGGCAGTAAAAACAGCCAGAAACTATCAAAGTTTTGGGAGCATTTCAATTGACACTGGTCTGTGGTTGCCTTTAAAGGCTAGCATTTAGCTTTCCTAGGCCTGCTATATCATCATCATAAGTGTATTACACATACAGAAACAAAACTACATTAAATTGTTACGGTTATTTTTATTAATATCTACTGCCAGGAAATTCAAGATTTTTCATAAAGATTACCACATATATGGTTTTATGAGGAGGCCAAAAACTTGCCCCGATTGATTCATTTTGATTAAATATCTACATGATTTAACAGAATAAACGATCATTAAACATGAAAAGATTTGAAAAGACTCAATTACATTGTTTTGCCTGAATATCTATTGAAACCAGCACATGCTATTTGCATGTTATACAAATAAGCGAGTGTTTGGTTGCACAAGTCTTGTGTGTTTGGCTTCGTTCGTGGAAACCGTGTCAACCTCGACCCTATCGGACAATCTGATCTTTGAGAGTGCGACAGTGTGACTAAGCCCTGCGTTGTAGAAGGGGAAGTAGAGGCACATCTTGATCAGCACAACGTACCTCATGCTCCGATATTCCATCAATGATCTCCGAGACCTCGTGTTCACTGCGAGCCGCGGACGAGGCCAGCCCGCCTCCTCGCTGCCCAACGCGGCTACGGGCGGGAAAAACACACAAGAGCTGTCACTCAAAAGCACCCACATCTGTCTGGGACTGAGCCACTTACACACAATGAATGAAATCCTCGGCTCTATTAACAACAACAACAGCGGTAACCGCGGCAACAATTCACGGCGTTGAACAACCACAGATTGCTCCATGTGAGAAGCGATCTCACCTCTGCATGCGCTCCTGCAGCTCCCTTTGTTTGCGGATCTCGGGGAACTGCTTCTCGTAGTACTCGCGCACCTTGCCCTCCTTGGCGCGGCGCCGCGGATTGCTTTCGATGCGGTCCACCTTCTTCTCCCAGGCTTCCATCAGCTGGTCGTAGCGCTGGCAAAACTTCTGCTCCTGGAGCACCACAGAAAAGAGAGCGTCTCTCAATCCATCCGCCTGAATATCGACAAGATCCTCATTCCGCTGCGATCTCGAGACAGAACACTAATGGACCGTTACATGTGAGGGACTAAGATGTCTCTATGTTTATTGTTATGTCCCTAAGCTCTCTACGTTTCTGTTGTGCGTGAACTTCTACTTGTTGAGCAGGCCAAGAGATAAGCCGTCGAGCCTCTCGACCGCGCATGCGGAGGGACCTTTCGGTAATTCTCATAATAGCAAAGTCATTCGGTGGGCCAGCCGGACTCCGGCACCGGGCACTGGACGCCCCGGCGGGCCGGATGTGGCCCGCGGGTCGTGAGTTTGACACACGTGCTCTACATCAAGAGTTGGTAACCCCCCTGCCACCCCTGCAGCCGACCCGAAAATACACACTTAGTCATCATATTTCCTTTCTTCTTCTGGATGGATGCAAATTTCACAGCAGTACTTTATTTGCCGTCAAGCTGGTTGATTTGAATTGATGTCTGCTTGGCTCGAGCGTGAGAGCTCACCCCATCGGCTGGCCAAGTCTACCTCAACCACTGGCACTCATTAGAAGCGCTTGAGAATTCAACACATTTTTCAACAACATTTTTTTATTGTGTTGATTTTTTTTCTTCTTCTCTTTTACAAAAAGCAATCCCTCGCGAAAGGCACAGCGAGAGCACCGACAGCGGACCATTCCCAGAGCTCTGTTCCTCTTTGGTCAGCTTAAAATGGCCCCTCACTTCAGGAGCAGCTGGCCCATTTTCACAGCATCATCCTTCATGGACAGAGAGACTAAGATGTAGAGTTCTCTACTTACCCACTGCTTACGAGCATGATTTCTCCTCTTGAAATACAAGATGAGCTTCTTCCTCATCGCCTGGTTTCTAAGAGGGTTGAAGAAAGAGAGGCATGGAGATAACAGAGGGGTATAAACAAATGATAAGGGGAAGACCTTCAGGAAGACAATTCATCATGTTTTTCAAAGAAAAACACACAAATAATAAATCAAAGTGTGCGGTTTGTACCCTGTGCACATTCTCCTGCCTTATTTGCCCATGAAACAAACAAAAAACCACACGCGCAAATGCAAACAATGGCTGCCCTTGTGCGCCACTGCTCGATAAACTCGCTTCTGGGTGGAAGACGGCAAAGTTATAAAACTCGTCTGGGCCGGGAACAGCCTTCAAATAAAAGGTCAGGCCCAGTAATCTCCTCAGGCAGCCTCCCGCTGCGTCTCTTTCTCTGCTGCGAGACAGAATTTTATTCCTGACACTTAATCGGTCAGTTGTAAGGTCACGTAACCCACTGATTGATGTAATCTTATTCTATACTAGTCACTTCGACTGAGCCGAAGGTCCTTCGGGTCCCAGGCAAGGATAGACAACCAGGGAGCGTGATGCTCGTGATGAAAATGAAAGACGACGGGACCGATAACTTTTATGGGCCGGGAGGCATAAACATACAGGACGACCTGTTCTCCATTTGCCAAAGATCGGCAATAACAAACCCAGGTTAAATATGAACTGCCTTAACCCCCAACCTATATAAACACTCCCTCACAATCAAACAGACACATATACAGCGGAGGAGTTGAACACGGCTTAATCCACCCAGATACCGTTGATAGCCACGCTTACCGTGGTGGCATTTAATGAGCCACGGAGGAATTGGTATCACATAAACAGTGCCGATGGATGAAACAGATGAAGCCCAGCAGAGACAGAGATGGTATTGTCCTCTGGTCACCAGATGGCAAAGGGGGGGATAGCAACAACCTTGAACCCAATCGAAAGGTTTCCTTTGTCCTCCTCTAAACCCGCGCCAACCTGAGCTATCGGAGAACATTGTCATTTGGCGCAAAGCATGCTGGCTGGAAGACTCATTATACACACGCGTGTGACAGATGTTCCCCAGAGGTGCAAGCACACTGAGAAAAAAAACATTCTTGGACTTCAAAGTTTGCTTTTGTTTTCATAGCAGTTTCAAATATGCAAAGGAAATATCTTGAGCCGAGTGCAGTGGATGAACTGGGAGGGGACTCGGTTGCTGAGAGCTCCACAGAGAAATCCGTACTCTACGAGCAGGGATGAGGTTATTGGCAAAACAGAGAAGTGAATTGTGCTGTCTCTAAGTGACACAGTGGTATTTAATCACACACACACACACACACACACACACACACGGGGGGGGGGGTTCAGTTAATTGCTTCGAGGCAATAGTACAGATCAAACGGTGCCGGGATCAAAAGGGGTGAAGACAGAACAGCGTTCTGGCGAGAGGTCAGACACGTCTTGTGGTACTTGGGGCCGACACGAGAGTTCTGATGGCTCGTCTCCGCCATCGTGCCCCGCAGCACGGGGCCGATGGCGGAGACGAGCCATCAGAACTCTCGTGTCGGCCCTTTGATGTGGCACGGGGAGATTTAGTCCTTGAGATTACAGAGTCTCATTGATGGAGACGGAAGGGTTGTGTAGTCTGCCCAACGGCATCACATTAACACATCCCATTAACAAATGCAATTACATCAGGTGATCGTTTAACTGATCGTGTCAATGTTGGATACTGAGACAGCCATCTCGCTGTAATATTTCATGCGATAATATCAGGGGGGAAAAGATTTAGCGCATTTTCAGAACCAATGTGCTTGTTTTGTTTGTTTTTGCATTTCTTTGTATGATTAATGCATCTTTTGTTTTAACGGAGGTGATTTGAAGCTGTGTTACTGGCCAAAGGACATTACCAGAATTCAAATGTGTCTTTTAGCTATTTAGGCTTCGTTAGAGCAGGTGTTCATATCCTGAAGCATTCAAAACATCCCGAGTGATATTAAATTATTTGAGCCTCAAGTTACATATTGAAGGTCCTCAAAACGACACAACAGTGAGCCCACGCACCATTCCCAAAGTTGTCTGAAAAAAAGCTTCCAAAGAGGAATCAGATATGTTGTAATGAAAAACTAAGAACAGCTACGTATCATCTTGTTTTCAACAGCCACAACAACAACAACCACAGACGCGCTCGGCTGACCGTGGCCAGTTATCAGAGCCGGACAGTTTAGCCCGGTCCACCCTGGTGGTACGAAGGCCCTTCTGCTACTGAGGCAGACTGGACTAATTACAATCGCAGATCTCTGTCACAGCCGAAGTGTGGAAAAGCTGGTCAGAGCTGGTTGAGAGGCTTGCTGAGTTGTATCTGATGAGTTGCCTGTAAGGCTTTGGCTTATTTTATTTACACATTTACACATCTTTTTAAATAAATAATTATTGTTTCTACAAATTTACAAATCTTAATACAGATTTGGATTTCTGCAAATTTATTTTCTACACATTTACAATTCTGATAATACACAGATGTCAATATACTTTCACAATTCTCATCACACATGTGCGAATAGCTTTGCTACAAACATTACATTAGGTTCTCAAAACTGCCTTTTCCAAAGTGTCTTTGGTATCATCTTTTTACCCCCGGTAGATGGGCTCGTTACACATCTATTTCATTAAATTCTTTTTAAATTGACAATTACATATCCCCCTCTGAATATTCTATTCATTGCGGTCTGCCCGCTGAGTTGTGAGTATGGAGACAAGTGGTGATCGGGGGACAACATACAAACACTTAATAGCTAATAGTAATTAATAGCTGCTAAGAGAAACAAGTTCAAGCTTTAGGACAGCTTGAAATACATTATTAAAAGGGATTTACCTTTGCTCCGCGTATAAAATATATAAAGCCAAGCAATCATTGTTGACACTATTGGCATACCCAACAAACCAACATGAGTTCCTGTATAACTCTCCCAATGTATTAATGTGGAAGCATGCAAGCATTTGTAGTGACAGACTCACATTTTGATGTTCTCATGGTACTGCTTGGTATCAGAAGGCTGATTGTACAAAGGCTGGAACACAAAGAGGACAAAAACATTTTTAAAGAAACATTAAAAATTATTCAAAATGTCTAGCAAACAAAGGGATGTGTGTATGAGAGGAAGAACAACGGATCCTCTTGTAGTTAGGGCTGGCTCAGGCTAGCCTGGACCAGCCCTTAGATAAGCTGCTATAGGCCCAGGCTGCCGGGGGATTTCTTCTGACAGACCAAGCTCCTCTCTCCCCCCTTCTATGAGAATTCCCATCTCATTGATGCACATCACTAATTCAGCTTCCTCCTCAGAGTTTTTGTGATCTTCCTCGCAGGTTTCCATGGACCATGGTATTATCTGGACCCTGGTCCTTCCACGGCCCTGCTGACACCTACCGCTTTTAACACTATTATAAGTACCATTACTATCACCGTCAACATTAATCCACACCACTTTGTTTCTTCCGAGTGTATGTGCTTTCTCGCCTCGCAGTTTTTCGTAGATCGTGGTTCTATCTAGACCATGTTCTTGCATCCTGCCATTGTTCTGCTGACAACTGCTGCTGGTATCACTAACATTATTAATATTAATCACATTACTGGTGTCTGTGGATGGTGGTTCTATCTGATGGAGTTTGTCCCTGCAGTGGTCCTGCCGTACACCTGGCTTACTACACTCAATATTTGAACACTGTACATCTTTGACGATGTTTATTCTGTACACATGACATCCATTGCTGTCTGTCCATCCCGGGAGAGGGATCCCTCCTCTGACGGTCTCCCTAAGGTTTCTCCCCATCATCAGTTTTTCCTGTGCTGATGTGAGGGTTTCGGGACAGAGGATGTTGCATGTGTACAGGCTGAACCCCTCTAAGGTAAATTTGGAAATTGAGATTTTGGGCTATACAAAAAAAAAGATGGGGCTTGGAAATATATAATTGTATATAGCGTGTGTGATAAGATTTATTAAGTAAAACCAACGTGGGAAAAAATGCAAAAGGAAGTCTGGGAATTATATCTTGAATACAAATCCTTTAAAAAAAGAAATCTGCAGGGTTATGTTTCTGTTGTTTGCGGTACAAGCGACCCTTTAACGCTGCACCCTGATGTGACTCATTATTCATTATGTGTTCAATATCGCTCCAGGACATTTTTGAATAAAAACCCAATATTTTGACTGTTACTTTCAACTGCTAAAAGAGTCACGCGCACATGAACCTCCTTCTGGTATCTACGAAGCATGTTTTATCCTTTTTACATGACCTCATGCAAAAATACAAGAGCAAGGAACAAAAACACACACACACACACACACACACAAAATTCAAAGTGTCCACTCACCAGTTCTACCCTGGGTCCCAGTCCCTCCAGTATCCTGTGAGCCTCTTCTGCCTTTTTCTGGAACGGGAACACAAACAGAGGTAATACATTAGCCGACCGCCTGCACCTCAACCATCACCACGGCAACACTGTGAGCTCACTTGATCACTGAGGCTGCACTACTGTTCGCTGGCTGGCTGGATGGATGGATGGAGATGGATGCAAGGACTATTATTAGAGCTTTTAACTCAAGCTGGGCCACAGTTCCCTCTGTCCTCTCCCAGAAAAAAAAGGTACTCACATCCCCTGAGCAGAGACAGGAAGGGAGAAACAGCAGGCGGGCAGGCAAGTGGGAGGGAATAGAAACTGAGTGGCGGAGATCGAGCAAAAGACAGGGAAAGGAGAGTTGGGGAACGGGGGGCCTAAGAGGGCTTTGGTGCTTATCTCAGAAGAGACATCTGAGGGAGAGATCTCACCTCACCCCAATAGAAACTCCTGGCACGGACTATAAAGTAAGAGAAGTGTTTGAGCATCGGGCCTCAGGATGACCTCTACGCAGCGATGCTCCACTATACATTTTTATCTTTAGCCCCGGCAGACAAATGTGTGAGCAGTGTCCCAGACTACCCGCCTCAATGTTTGCGCCCCGCACACTCTCTGCGCTCCATCGATCAAACGGACCCTCCTTGGTGACACGTCACATGCTTCGTTGCTTTCTATCTCACTTCAATCTCCTTCCGTGACCTCGGAGGGAGACTGGCAGGACCAACACATTTGCAGATGGGATGGAAGAACAGCAAGAGGGGGAGGGGGGAAATTTTCGAAGGCGACAACAGAACCTGGCGGGTTGTGTGCGTGTGTGCACGTCAACCTTAATTCCTCACCGCCCACAATGTCACGCTGCTTCCTTGTCCTTTTCGCTCCCTCTTCACTGGTGCGGTGGCACAGGAGGTGCTTTGGATCTAACTCTAAAGTTTATACGAGACTCACGCGAACCGACTTCTGCGGAGGAGCTCAGGCGAAGAGCTTAACTTTACTCGACACTGGCTTCCAACTGGGTCACCTGTGAGTGAAACCAGAGGACATGGATCCGATATTTTAAAGTGCATTTCCTCTAGAGCATGAGGCATAAAAGGAGGCACTGATCCAGGGTGCTGTTACTACATATTATTCAAATGAAGACAAATGTACTAGTATTCTTCCTTGACTCTCGCTGCATTTATTTGCTCATTAATGTTGACTCCTCACCAGTGAGTAGGTGTAACAGGCGGCAGAGTATTGCCTCAGAGAGCCTGCTTACTACAGAAGCCGTTAATGAACAGCAATTATTAGAACCAGGCAGTCATCCTCGGGGAGTAGGATTTATCTTTTCCTTGACGCAACTTCTTAAACAAATAGGGAAACAAGATACATCAGAATTCTTTTGATAAGGCTTCACATTAAATACTGGAAATGACACGTTCGGCATGAAAAAGAGGGGAATGGAGGAGATTACCGAGTATACATTTTCTCTGAAACTGAGTTATTAGTTACAGAGCTGGTGGTCTTGAAACTGTACACATGCAGCCAGTTGCATTAAGAGCCATAAAGCTTAAGCAAATTCAACGTGCTGCCTGCAGTCCAAGATGTTTTTTTGAGCTGATGCCGATTGTAGATCATTGATGATCCATATTGGCAGACACAGATCAGGTCAAATGATCAGAGATCAGCAAGAAGAAGAGCATACATGTCAATCTCTTATTTAACTTTAAATTGGCGGATAACGAGGTCAGCAAAATTCCATTTCACACACTGGCGGTTACGGTAAACTGTGTGATTAATCCGCGGTTCACGTGTGCTGAACCGCGAGGGTCGATCCGCATGGATCAACCGTGGTCTGTTACACCACAAGGGCTTATGTTACTACAATCACAGCGTTGCCAAACTTTTGTGACTCACATCAAAGGAATGCAGGAGCGAAGACCAGGGACAAAAAAAAGAAAAGAAAAAGAACTTCAAGTCCAACAAAATAATCAAAAGGAAGGAATAAGACTGATAAGAGCATTGTAGTATTGAAATCCTAACGATAACCATCCCCATTTGACACGCATATATATGTATGATGTGCCACTTAAAAAGAACAAGAATGCAATGAAGTATATGTGGATTTAATTTATTTATTACATTTATTCTGGTGACTAAAATAATGAATATGACTATGTGAGTAAATTCTACGCAGCACAAGCAGCACCGGGAAGGCGAGTGGAGCCAGGAAAAAGAAGAACAGGTTGGTTTGGTAGAGGAAGAGAGAAATAAAGAGCGAGAGGTGGGGTTAGGCAGCTGGCCAGAGTACATCCTGCCAGTCAGAGGGAAGTTGAAAGCGTTACGAAGGTCAAGCGGCATTGTGGGGTAAACCCGGGTGAATTTCAGAGAGTCTTGAGCAATCTGCATCTCCTGCTGTTACTAGTGTTTGTGGTTTGGCTGGTAGTGTTGACAGTAAGGGTCAGAGTCATGAAGGACACTCCCTCGGGTGTAGTTTTCTCTTTGAAAAGGTCTTCTCGGGGGAGTTGGTTTCTTATCTGGGGACATCTGTGCAGCTGTTAGGCATTCAGCCTCTTGCTCAATTGCTCTTAAACAATGTGCTTTCCAACAAATTGGTTTTAAAATAGCTTCTCCGGCTAAATTTCTTGGCACACAAAGCGCTGCTTTGCCATGGTTTGAAAAGGATTTGCAATCGAAACATTCCTCTTTCCCTTCCAACAGTGAAGTTCCAACATCCCTTGTAGTTTCCCGTACGGGGCTTGTTCGAAGAAATTGAAGCTCGAGTGTCATCGAGTGTGAAAGGAGCTCACTGCTTTGCATTGCACTTTGAATAAAACATTTAAGCCTAAAGGTTAGTGGCTTCTACTTTTGGCCACTAGGGGGACTGAAAGCACAGATATCCTCCTTCACGGAACGTAAACATCAGCACAGAGCACATAATGATTGTTGTGACTAGGACTAACTAAACAGCGGTCATTGACCTTACAGCTACTCTGTTGCTCTTCCATTTACATAACGATGACACTGCTGTACATGCGTATCTGATAAAGGACAGTGTGCGTCCGTGTCATCTTGTAGGCTGTGCGTGTGTGTCTGTGTGTGATTCACCAAGCCTGCTGCGATGCCCTTTAGTAGCTCATTCTGTTAGGCAATAATTCATGTGAAAATGAAGCGTGGGAGGCTCACATCGGAAGATAAATACTCCGTGGCAATCTGTGCTTTTGTTGACGAGGGTCTTCGAGGACGATATTTCCTTATTTTTTTTTAAAAAGGTAAAATGAAAATGGCAGCTATCCAAGAAAGAGAAAATAAGTTCTCTGCAGACCGTCATCAATCTGTTAGGAGCCCTGGTGTTTTTAGCTACTAGCGCTCGGTCACTGACAGCCGCTTGTGATAATCCATCTTGATATGTAATAAAGTGAAAAGGATTTGGGCTGCGGGCCACAGGTTGAGCGTGTGTATCCTACTGACCCTGTTCTCATCGTAGATGATCTGCACCAGGCTGCGGTGCTTGGCCTCGCTGGGTGGCGGTGAGATGGGCCGCTCTGGCTCGTGTGGTTTAGCCGCCTCCTCCTCCAGCTGTTGCTGTAACACAGAAACAAAAAGATAAAAGTTAGCGCTTGGCCAATCCAAAAAAGGGGGGCCCCCGATCTTCCAGGAAGACCTGTGGCACACCGGCTGGTGTTGTGAGGTTAAAGAGTGTTGCGTTAGATCACTGGTCCTTTCCCTGGAACTCCAACAGGAACCAGACTAGCGGACCTATTAGCCGCAATAGCTATTAACTCCCCAGGGCCTTGTTAATCAGAGTTACTACAACAGCCTGTAAACAAGTGCCAAAGCCTGCTGTGTGCCTGGAATCTCTGATGAGGGAGAGAAAAAGACCACAAAAGAGTGAAGAAAGGGAAAATGTGGCAAATTAACACCAGCCAAAAAATGGAGAACAGCGGTGTTCCTCTAATTCACCCTGGTTTGTAACAAACACTGAATTTTAAATTGCGTAGTAGTCACGCAAAATGAGTAGTAGCGGTAACCAAACGGAACAGCAACAAATCGCCATAAAAACAACGAGCCGGTCATCTGTCAGAAACGTGGGAACCGCCACAACTGTTCCTCACATTCTATTCCTCACATTGACCTATTGGGCAGCGCTGGAGTTCAGTCCTTGTTTTTATGTTTGGCAATCTTTCCTTAAAAAGAAGCACAGATGCCATATCTGACATTCAGCATACAGAATGAAGCGCTGCTTTGTTCTCATGGCCCATTCGGATTTACAACCGTCTTGCATCTTGGCAAATTGGATCGCTATCCAGATGTTGAAACGGTGTTAGCGAACCAGTCAGGATCATTATTCCGCCCCCGAATCACACACCTCAATAAGCAGCATGTGGAAGTAGCCGCTTCCTTCTGCCCGTGATAATGGCAGGAGATAAAGGGATATTCATTTCAACATTTATTTATTTATTTATTTTTAAGTATGGTCTCCCAAACTACAGTAAGGAAAAACCTACTAAGCATCTAGTAAAAAAAGGGCAATACTGGTATGCATAAAATCATATCTGGATTCATTATGGATATAGAACACACGAAGAGTAAATGAAGAAAAATCGTTTGTCATCACGGTAAAAAGTGGCGGGAATAGAGCGGACTTCTCTTCTTCGTTACGGGCTTCAAAAGAGGGAGAGGCCTCCAGAGCAAGATGGATCATCATGCGGCATGAAAGGCCAGGATAAGCATCTGGTGCAGGAAAACACGGACATTCCCACAGAGACCCCCACCCCTTCGTCTTCCCTTTCAGAGTAAAATAAAATAAACCAGCCATCCTGGGCTTGGCTGACATGACACAGGTTGGCGGTGACCTCAGCCCAAACACCCACCCAGCCCCTACCTATGTCACAACCCTTTTAATAAGTTTTACTGTGCCACTTAATTAGTCCAGATGTTTTAATGCTTGAAGAGAGCCGGATTGTAAAAACAAATACACTGTATCCATAAAAACACTGTGTATTGAGGAGGGTGAGTGGGGCGGGTCTTGATTCATGCTTGTAAGCAGCAGAGCTCAGCCTTTCAATCACTCAAAGCTCCAACACAAACATTGGAATCGGATAACCAGCTTTATTTTGGTAAGAAGTCCATATGAATTATATGCCAAGTTGTTTCTATTAAAGGCAAATGCAGGAGTCCTTTGAGTATTTTTTCTTTGGGAACATTGATTTCATCAGGTGAAATGTCAGCAACATTAGGCACATTTGACAACGGAGCTGAAGAGTGCCGTTTGGTGGTCGAGATACAACATAATCATGGGGACTGAGTACACCGCATGTCGCTGCCAAATCCTAATGCTTCATGACAGACGATGTCCTTTTTTTTCTTAATGAGTAAATTCCCTGAATTCAAATGAGAACCTCCTGCCTGATGGAGGAGGGAGTCGGGTGGAAAAGAAAGAGCCCAACCACACAGTTTCTCTGCTCAGCATGGCAGGCGGCCAAAAGGGAGACAGAGTGTCAGGGACGCGAGTGGTTTAGCAGTCACAAAACCTCCACCATAATCCTCCGCCCACAGGCATGCTGTTATTTATAGCCTTATATATTTTTGACCTACTTTTCTCTTAAGTAAAAAGTCAAAGAGAATAGGGGGAGAAAAAAAAAAAACTGAACGCAGCTGCCTGGAGGAGTCCATGTACAAAAATGTAGCACATGGAGTGAGAAGCTGCTACAGAAGCTGAATGCCGCGATTACAACACAGCAATGTCCGGACAACAAGCCGCACGCCGCCACTAAGGAAATTAAATAATGTGAGATGTGAGCCACCGGTAGGCATCTACATGAAGGATGAAAGGTACGTCGTGGTGCGTTTAGGTTTGCCTGCCTGTTCAAAATATTAGCAGAATGCACACAAATGACATCACACAACACCTACTAAACCTTCTTCACCGTTACTGATAATCTCTTCCTACACATTGTGGCCAAAATAGCAGCTCATAAAGGAAGAACGTCTGATGTACCTGACTCATCTTCTAAAAAGGCTGAGTCTTATTGAGCTGCATGCCAAGCAGTACTTTAACACATTCACTGTAAACTTTTGTAATCTAATTTGCTAACTAACTTCTACTGTTACACCATCAAGAGCCTGCTAACAAAGTGCATCACCGTCTTGTGTGGCAATCGCTCCGTCTCAGACCGTCTGCTCCACTCCCTGGCATCAAGGCCGTCCTCCTAGAAAGCTGCACCCCCACCCAGCCATAGACCGTTTTCCCTCCTTCCCTCTGGCCGGCGCTGTAGGAAATTTGCCATTCCACAACCAGCAGGCTCAGGATCAGCGACTTCTCCTCAGCAGTCGACTGATTAAACTCTGCACGGTCACCCCACTGCTCATACTGCTTGTACTGTCCGTATTGGCATACAGACTCATAGATTTTATTTGTTTATATGTTATTCATGCTTTTATTAATCAAGCATGTTGCACCGCACCCTCCATCTTATCGCATCTAGGTTCCTTCTGGTGCGTCTGCAGTCAACGACACATTTATCTGATGCTGAAAGTATCAACTGCTTAAATCTTTGGCAGAAATATAGTTCAATTTGCAAGCCGAAGGCATCTACATCATGTTTTTGAAAGAACAAATCCACTTTAAAATGAGAGAATGCAGTCTGCAAATTCTAAACAAAACACAATATAATCTAAAAGTTACACTCATAGGCGTGCAGACCTGTTTTTTGCGGAGCTTGCAGATCTGCTGCTCTACCATGGTGATCTCCCGGTCCACGCGGTCCATGTTCTGGATCAGCTCCTCCTTGGAGAAGCGAGCCGGCACCAGATCCAAGTCAGGGTCCATAAGGGCCGGGCTCACAGGGGAGATTGGCTCCAGCTTCCCCATTCCACTGCTACGATCCTGCAAAAGCCCAACAAAAAGAAAAGTGACGTGCTGAGATGTTGAATACGTTTGTATTTTTAGGATTGACAGGACACTGGAGTCAAACAATACAGAGGAGATGGAAGGATGAAACTGATAATAAACAGCAGGTTGGTGTAACGTATCGGACAGGTTATACCGAGAATTGAAAAAATAAATAAAACTGATCTTGCACACTGGTTCTCTTCCTCTGGTTGCATGAAGGTCACTTTAACACAATCTAAACACAATCGGTGACATTAGTACATTGTAGTTTGTTCATATTTTCTATTAAGATTTTTTTTAATTTTATTTTACAACATTTTCCTCTGAGACAAGGTACATAAAATCAAAGGAACCTCAAACTTACTTTACAAGTGTACTTAATAAGTACGGGACGAGCATTCAAAAGCACAATTCTTGCATCTTAAATTTGCTCTTCTGCACCAGATTGATGCATTAACCCTAAAAGGAAACTTTTTCCGCCTGCGGAGGCGGTTTACTAGGACACGTCAATTCCAGGCACACAGCACGACATCTGTTGCCTTTAAAAAAAAAAAAAACACATAACTATATATTTATATATATATTTTCTTAATATGGCAGCTCATGGTTTAAGCAAATTCTCAGTAATCCGTTTGAGAGTCCTAGGATGGCCGACTTTGTCAAAACATTGTCATTAACTACCAGTAATACCTCTGAATTCCTGATACGTGTCACAACTCAGCATGCACAAAGGCCGTATTGTTGACAGATATGAAATTGGAAAAAAAAGACGTGGCCATTATTGACTGGTGATGCCGGGTCAGTGATGTGTTCAACCTTGCAGGAGTCAATGTATACAAAAAAAGAAAATTGCTTTCATTGTTGCCTTCATTGCTGCAGTTATCTATTGTGATGGAATTTGTGTTCATTTTTCTACTATCGCAAACTCAAGGACAGCTAATGGCGCGGGAATGTCTACGGAGTGCGTTTAACCACCAGGGATTCGATGGGAGGACAAAACTGCGAGGTCACAAGCGATCTGCCTTCAGTGCTCTGCCCTACACTGTCCTCTGTGCTGGTCAACAGCCATTACACCTGTGACGTGTGTGAAACGGTCCTAGGCCAATAGCTTCGCCTGTAGCCTCGCCCTCACATTTAGAACATTCCTTTCATGCCTAAATCCTTTTATTTACATGAATTTCAGCGCGAATCTCAGGTAAACAAGATTTTATGTGGTGCTGGACATGATGCTTTGATTAAAATCAAACAACCAAATTAGTCGCCAAGTGTTGGAGGACTAAGATTTCCCTTCGTCGAGGACCTCACTGATTGTAGACTCCTGTTGCCCAACAGGTGTCGTCTTAAATTATGGCCTGCAACTTTAATTGTTTTCATAAACTAGCAACCTTTATTATGGAAATAATTAAAATTGTTGGATAAAATGAAAAACTGAAGGGAATCATGTGGGTTTTTCTTGTAAATATTGGCAGATTTCCTTGTACATCTAAAACAGGTAAATTAATTTAAAATATCATATTTTTATAGAATTGTAAAAAGAACAGGTTTATACCATATCATCTTATTAGACAACCTAAATAGCCTTATGGTATTTAACTTATTCACACAACAGCATTTATTTTCTGTGTATTTGAACCTTATATGGTGAGCAGGACATTAACAAATCTTATCTGATCTTATTCAGTACAGTACAAGATAAAGGAAAAGTGCACATGTTGCTTCATCCTTCTCTAACCCCCCCGGCCATGTGAGTCATGCTGTAGGCGTCAGCATTGTTTCATTCAGACCTTTCACCCTTCACCTCCATCTGTGCCTCTCCCCATTTCCACTTTTCAGTAACATCTTTCCCTCATCATTGAGGGAACTTGTTCCGTGCAGCCGGTGAGTCTTATATAATGGGTTTAGGGCTGTCTGTGGGGAATTACAGGCATTCCTGAATATTTCCCTGATAGCTTAAGAGATAATGGTTTTCCTTTCCCTGTACCGTCCAATATTGCTGTATCTGTTCTCCATTCCGTGGCTGTTTGAAGCATTGTGTAACGGCAGGAACCCCTCCCTCCTCAGCTCTACACTGCAGGCAGGTCGTTTTGATGTGCGGTTCACACGGTGCCACCCTCAGTCTTTTGAAATCTAGGTCAGCCCCACCATTTATTAATTGCTGTTTCACAGCTCCGTTACAGTCTTTCCACTGCCGCTCACAAAGCGCCAGCTCGTACACTGCAGAACCTGCTTCTAGTGTGGTATGTCTAATAAAAAGCATCTCTGAACAAGACTGGCAAGTATATAAAGGAGGCATAACCATTTTAAAAAAAGATAAGTGGACCTGTTATTTTCTTAAATCTAATTGCCAAAGATTAAGGGAAATCTTAATAGAGCAAACACATTTTTTATAATAATTAGGGCCCATATACACATACATACACATATGTGTGTACATACATATATATATATATATATATATATATGTGTATACACGTATATATGTGTACACACACACACACACACACACGGCCCCATATGCATACTTAATTAATATTGGTAAGTGAGTCCTGGTTCCATGACCATCAAACGGTAATTTACTCAACTTGTTACTATCATACATTGTATTTCATAGTGGCTACTGACCTTTGCCATATCTTCAGCCAATCCCATGGGAAGTTGTGGCCGGTGGGATGAAGGCCTCATCAGAGACTCCGGCGCCATCTCTAGACGAGGCCGTTTGATCTCTGCGTACTCCACCTCCGATTGGCCGCTGTGCTCCGGCAGGTACATGTGCTCATAGCGGATATGCTGTTCTTGTCCTCTGCAAAGTGAAAATGGAGCGGCTTAGACAAACGTGCAGGAAGCTGCTGAAGCATTTCAGGCAGCATCTGGTTAGCACTCCAGGCCTTCCCGGTATGACCTAGAGCCACAGAGGTTGGGAACGCACGCGGCGAAGGGCCAGGACCCGCCAGCACCAGGGAGAAGAACCACAGGGGGGGGGAGCAAGAGACGAGGCTTGGTGCGGGTTTTGTTTAAGCCTAATCGTGTCCCATTAAAAACAGGCTACGTTTAACCACACAAAGACACATTGGTACAAAAAAAAATCTGCCATCTGGCTTCATTGGGTTCAACCGGGATCGTAAAAGTGATCACTAAAGACAAATTTCTTTTTTCTGTAAAATGGGAACATGTAATGGGTCACTCGTAGTGGAAATAACGGGAAATGGGAAATGGTGACTCACTGCAACGCTACCATCTAATGGCTTTCTTTTCAGCAGCATATGGCAGAGCTGCTCTTGTGCCGGGTTTTGCAACCATTGCTATGCAGTCGATGGCTCCACACACAAAGCCAAATGAAGTGCTTTGTTGAGATTTGCAGCAGGAGCTATGACACCACACAATTATCTACCCTAAAACTAGAAACTGATCCGGCTGGCCGGGATTGCCAACAACTACACCGGCCGCCAGAGCAGGGCGGCGCTCCGTGCTGCAATGTGAGCGCTGCACTTTTGATAGCGAGCATAAACCGCATTCTGCATCAGCTCGTCATTGGGGTTGGCAACACGATACGGTGCGCCAGTAAAATTGACCTTTGGCGTGTAGTCAAATGAGCTTCTGAATGTTAACTGCACTGGCTTCTTAGATTTAGGCATATTTTATTAGCCCACTTGTAAATGCCTCTGTGTCAGATACTTTGCTGCCAGCGTCAAAATGGATGTGGCTTCTGAAGAGGGAAAACACAACCGTAATTGCTGGTCCAGGCCCACAATGGCCTACTGTGTGGTTTCTTTATGTGCCAAAGAGCATGGAGCTCGTCTCTCGGACTCTTCGGACTACACCAGAGCTTCATATAAGCGGGGTGGGTCAAGTCGTTTACACACCGGGCTGAATCTGCATGTTAGACGGTGTCTTGGGGCGACGAGAGAAGAAATGGGTTGTGGGTGTTTATAAAATTGCCTACATAGTAGAAAAATAGGGTGCCAGAAATGAATACGCAGATGGTGTGTGTGTGTGTAAGCGACAGCGCCCCCACCCCAAAACATATTTTCTCACCCATTCGGTCGCACACTTTCTCATCTCCATAGAGGTTTGTCACTTACAAAATCAGCCTCCTTCCCCCTCTTTCCTTACCCTTCGTCCCTCTTGTGAGCGGGCACAATAATCTGATCCCTGGGGAGGATTTGTCTGGAGGATGAGAGGACGATGTGTGGGGGGGTGGGAGCGGCACACACAGCACCCCACAACAGCACCATTACTTTCTTACTGGTTTGGGCCTCATTACAACAGGGAACAGAGATCCTGTGTGTCGATAGCAGCCGCCCGATATTGTGAAGGCACTGCGGCGTCTCCCCGTTTCTCTACAGCTGTGCACGCTGCAGGAATGGCTGACAGAAAGAGAAGCCAGGCTAACTGCAACACAGCTGGGAGGAATGAAACCGGGAAGTGCGCGGAATGAGAGAGAAGATTGCATAGACGAATGCAAAGATTCACATTGCTGTGAAGCCGAAACTAGATGAAATGAAGTGTGAAATTCATTCCTAGCTGGATCATGATTTGATTTTGAGTGATTCAGAACTGATCCTCTATACTGGGGGTGCTCAATACGTCGATCTCAAAGGCAGTACCAGTCGATCCCGTGCCATCCATAAAAAAAAATGCCGTCACGTCACCGGTCTACCGCGGGAGATTACGGAAACTAATGCTAATGCTAGTTAGCGATTCTTGTTTAGTAGCGGACACATTTAATTTCATTCCAAAGCAACCCAGGCTGACCCCAGTCAGCGTGGTTACATGGATTCAAATAACTGGCTTAGTCGGACTGAAATCGAATTATCCGTTTCATGTAAACACCTTTGTCCGACTATGATCCGAGTAACACCCCTGGATAACTCGACCCGATCCAGTTGATAGTTCGACTATTGCGGCATGTGACGGTGAATTGGATAAGGAACTGGACTTTGCGTCTTTGCGCATGCTTGAGATCCCGACGGCGTCTTCTCTCCGTTATCAAATCAGCCAATAGCGCCATTCGCATTCGCTGTGCTCCTATTAACATCATGCACAAATAGTAGAGGGTTGTAGCTTCACCTTGCTCTCGGTTCACCATCTTTCTCGTAATGTTGATGATGTTGTTGTTGGTAGTGGTGAAGCGGTCAAGCGGAAATGGTTGTATCACAACTAGTTGTAATGAAAACAGCGCCACCTATCGTATCGGATATGACATGCTTTCGGCCAATGATTCGATTTATTCACTGCCATGTATATTGGGATAATAGCACTTGCCCCAAAAGATAGCATAGTCCGTCTAAGCAAAGATTTGAATAATACCATCATGTAAACACACTGAGTAAGGTAATGACCCACAATGTGTGCGATGCTTGTGACTGTTTCCTCCTTCTGACAGATGAGAGGCTCGTTCTCTTCATATCGACCCTGTTTTTACACCCCCTGCTCTATACTAATCAGAATTAAAAAGGGTATTTCAAATTGCTATTGAAATTATCCTAACTAAATCTTTTTGGGGGGTTAAATCAACATATGTGCAAAATCCCCAATTGTGGACATTTGAAGTAATATGAGACAAGACGGACATAGCTATGCAATAACAGCCTGGTCTTCTCGTTATGCTTGCTCTACAATGTATTCACTCCCTTTCTGAAGAAGCTCGGGTGGTGGGAAGAGGTGGAGGGACTGAGATATTGCCTGGAGTCAAGACACGATGATACAATCAACCACCACTCGGCAATGATTAGTGCTGTGGGTCCCTGAAATGCAATTAGGGAACATTTGGAGCATTAATCTAACTAGTAGGGCTGCAACGATTACTCGACGTAATCGCCGACTATAGGAAAACGTTGACGCGTTGTACATTATAGAACTCTGTGTCCTTTTCATGCGGCATTGCAATACACTACAGGAAGTGCTGGGGGCGCTATCGCTTCCATTGTCTACATGCACCAAGGAAAAGAAGTTTATCAAGCTGGGAGAGCCGAAAAAGTCGCAAACGCAGAAAAACAGAGTTGTCGTTTCACAGCAGCACGACGGCAACGCACGGACATTTAAAGCGCGAGCGTGCTGGAGCCACCACGTCTTCTCCTCATGGGTAAGTTTAGCTGACTAGTAACGCTAGCTTTGTTAACTTATCGTGAGGTTTAGAAAAGAGGATGTCTCGTGGAGGATTGCTAATGCTATTTCTGTTAAATGCAGTGTAGTAAATCGGTGAATTATCACAGTAGCACGTCAGCGCTTCCTCAACATGTTGTCACTTGCATGGACTTTATTGCTATTTTGAATTACTTTTATAACTTTATTTGCTCTTTCTATTTACTTACATTTTCTATTGCTATTTAATGTATCGATTATGATGATTAAATTGGTATTAACTTGTTACTCAAATACATTTGAAGTTCAAAAGTTATTGGACGGAAATAAACGGCTACACGTTATAGCCAAAATACTTGCATCTTTGTTTCCACGCTCCTACACTGCGGTAAATAATCGTTCGACTAATTGAAAAGTAGTCCATAGCTAAGTCGATTACAAAAATAATCGTTAGTTGCAGCCCTAGTAACCAGGACATTTTCACGTTGTCTTCAGTCCACGACCATCGAAGAACAGATGAAGGCCTCGAATAACGCTATTCAAACTCTGAATGAGAAACGTTGAATGGGGGCTTCAGACGGGATTTCGAGGAATGCTGAAGGCCTGATATACTCAACTAAATGGACTCCCCTCCCACAGACGGCTGCAGCAAGCAAGTGTTTTATTTTTGTCTCCACAAGAACAAAAAAAAAAACGTGCTAACCGCTAGTCACCTTTTTCGATGGTACCAAAGGCACCTGTCGTGCAGAAACAGACATCCTGTACGCCGGGTGCAACCACAAGAGCACCAGTTATTGAATGAAGTGTGTCAGCCAATCAGAAGCTGGTGGGTAGCAGTTGAACAGTTTGTGGTGTTTATTTCTGATTGTCAGCCCATGGCCCAGTGCTGCCACATTGTGGGCTAGGCCATGCGAACCACTGAACAAGACCAACACACACACACATTGAAGACCATAATCCCATCCGATTGGTACTTACACACTGGCATACCACGCAGCGGCTACACGCTGCGACAGAGGGATCCTACCATCTGCCGCTAGAACTGCTTTTCCTTCCAGAGGCACACAAATCGTTTGACATATTCAGAAGCGCAGCCTTCACTCCACAAACCCAACACTCGGTACATGCAACAAATATCTGCCAGCGTGTTTCTAGGAAAGCCAACCCCGTGAAAATTAAATCCTGTACTTTTTTTCATTTTTAAGACATGCCAAAAATATCTGCTTTGACAACCAAGAGGGGAGGGAAAAAAATGTGACCTATCCTCTGGGCAACATTCAAAATTCATGGCATAGATATCAATTATTCACAAGTACTCATCAAGGCTCATCCTCAAAAGCATGACTGTATAAATAATAAACAACTCCGGTAGGTACGAGACCTGAGTCCCCAGAGAGAAAAGCTCTGTATATACAAAGCTGTGCCTGACTGACTGTTGGGTCTATAGACGATGGGAAAACTCTGCTGCCCTGCAGAGCTGTTTAACTCAACAGTGAGAAGCAACAGTTTGCGGATGCTAATTGCATGGAGGTTACACTAGGGGAGGCTTAACAGAAGGAGGGTTGAGTATAATAATTCAGCATAATAATGCAGCCTGCATGAGACCATTCAGCATACTCTGTCTGACAGGCGTCAAGACACAACTTACACACAAACATTATTTCCTTGTGAAAGGTATATAGATATGACACCACAGTAACCATCTAGGATCTAAATAGATTTATGAAACTAAAAATGTAATGTCATCTGTAATCGTTAGCACAGGAGGATGTTAAATAAGACTGATAATAACGTCATGGTGCATCGTTTGCATTTAACTTCTGGAAATTATACTCGGCTGAGTTTCATTATTATTATTTGCCATGATGCCATGTTTGTCAAATAGTTATATAGTAAACAGCAGTCAGTAAAGAATGCAATTAAAAAAAGAAAAGGACGAGGAATCAAACAAGAAGCCGTCTTAAAGAACCCTAAATGTTGCGTGCGAGAGAATAAACGTCACATAGGAGCACAGTGCACCTACCTCTCATTCCCCGGCTGGAACTCTGAAAGTAAGGAGGGCCGACGGCGATGGGGCTGGGCCAGGTGGGAGTTGTAGTCCCTGGCATGATGAGCGTGGTAGTCAACCAGTCCCACTTCCTGGAACGCAAACAACATGTAGTCAGCATGGATCATGGACCCCAGGTTACGGAAAACATTTGAACATTTCTTCCGATTGCCTGCCCTCCTTCTTCTTCTGTCATATCCAGGGACTTTATCTGCAAATATTATCCCTCCCTCGACTTTGTTTGTCACACATATGGGGCAACCAAATGCAGCAACTGTAACCTGGAACGGAGCCAGTCAACCCTCATCTCGTCTAATGAGGGAACGGCTCTTGTGGGCACAACACTGGAACCCGGGAATGTTTCTGTTGGGAAAGGCCTCAGTGGAGGCCCCTGGGGTCAGGCCTCTTTCCAGTAGCTCAGAAATGTTTACCAAATATTCGAGCAGGCACAGCAAGAGCTACAGCTCCAGTAACAAGCACACAAGGTCTACCTTGAGAAAAAGGAGGCAAAAACATGGAGGCACTATATGTGGTATCTGTGTGAGGGGGAGGGGCGGGGCCTTACCGCATGTGCCCGTTGCAGCTGCAGTGGTAGACCCGCGGGGTTTGGCAGGTGCCGTGTGTCCACAGTCCTCCGGCCCGGCTGCACAGACTGAGGGTGAGAGGACATGCTGGCACAGCCGCTTCCTCTACAGGCAGGAAGTGGGTGTGGCTGCAGAGCAGGCGCCGTGCATTATTGGTTGTTTGGCTGCGGCAGCACCCTGCAGATAGAAAAAACACATGAGACAGGATCTGGTAGAGGAGCATCCCCTGGGGAATTGCCTGGGATGCTTTTGTGCACTTGCAACTTCGTGTGCATTTCTTGGAAACAACTTGTGTTTTCTGGCGGGCACCTCCAGAGTAGCTGGAGATGAAAGTGTGCGGCTCAGTCTGCGGCGGATATCAGAATGTCGTCACCTCCCTAGTCCATCGCTCCTGGTAAAGGAGTGCGAGTCCCTGCACCTGCTAGACTGAACCCCTCCATTGCCGCTTACGGAATGGTCCGCTGTGCTCCTCACACAGAGGACACAGACAGGTCATCAACCAAAGGTTTAATGGGTCTTTACAGGCAACATAAATAACTCAATGACAGACAGAGACGTGGGCCTCGAGAGTCAGGCACTGCAGCCGCAGTCTGCCACTAGTAGCTTGAGTACGCCAATGCATGCAAGAGTCACTTGGTAAACAGTTTACCATTTCTATCCAAGTAAATTCACAGGGATTTATGACACGTGTCGAGCACCTGATAAGCTGGTTAAAGCAGCGTTCTCAGACATTAGCAGTAGTATTAGGTGGCATTTGTCCCTGTGACTCTTGCCAAGAAACAACTTTAGGACTCCTGCCACACAGCCTCAGACTAATGACCCCCGCCCCACTTCCACTCATGCGTGAACCATACGAGAGGAAGGGAGGCAAAGATACAGGCTTTCAACAGGGAACTGGACTGAACCTTGACTAGACAGCAGAACTGCAATTTACACTGAAAGGGCCACAACCACTGTGACAATCGCACCCCCAAAGAAACACATGCATCAATTGAATTTATATTGAGAGCGAATGCAGAATAGTTTGTAAATTGTTAATAACCAGAACACAGATGGTTGAGGAAATTGGTTACATATTTAATTTGTATCTTAAAACATCAATGTTATTTATTTCAGCAATGAGTTGGATACGATGAGAGGTCCTTATGTGTATTGATTGTGTTATCTGTGTTTCCCCTGCCATTAAAAGAGGGGGGTGCTTCATTGTTTGGATGATGACACACAACCCAAAAGAAACACCCGCTTGAGATGCTTAGTCTTAACTAGGACTTAATTACACTGCTGTTAAAAAGGTCAGCATCGCCTGCCACGCTCCGGGGAAGTATATTTTTTAAATGCTTAGGTTGTAGAACAAAGATGAAGGGTTTGTTTTTGTAAGAAGACACCGGTGGGAGAATTAGTAAAAGAAACCAGATAATTCAATATAATAATTTAACGTCTTTCAAGTCATGCCGTACTTGAACACAGGATTATACCATCTATATTGATAAGCAAACACTTTCTGCTAATTTCACGCTTAATAAAGATCACCAAAAAACAAAAACAAAAAAGGAGTACACAGAATTTCTATTTGATTATCTCATATTGATTACTCATTGGATCACCAGTAAACGTATACGGTTCTATCATGATAGGAGATCTTGGCCCAGTTATAATGTGTGCGGTTTTAAATATGAACACAACAGGTGTGATGCTTTAGCAAAGTCATTCTTAACAACTATAGAGGTATATAACAAATTCACCGTCCAAAGGAAATTGAGAAGATTTTTTATTCTTTATGGACATTGACTAAATCCATCCATCCATTGTCAAACCGCTTATCCTGCACACAGGGTCGCGGGGGGGCTGGAGTCCATCCCAGCCAACTTCGGGCGATAGACAGGGTACATCCTGGATTGGTCGCCAGCCAATCGCAGGGCTACACAGAGACATACAACCATTCACACTCACATTCACACATCTACGGGCAATTTAGAGTCCCCAATTAACCTGATCCCCAGAGCATGTCTTTGGACTGTGGGAGGAAGCCGGAGAACCCGGAGAGAACCCACGCAGACACGGGGAGAACATGCAGACTCCACACAGAAAGGCCACTGGGCGGAATCGAACCCAGGACCTTCTTGCTGTGAGGCAACAGTGCTAACCACCATGCCACCGTGCCGCCCTTGACTAAATGGAAACTTTAAATAATTTAATTATTCTTTTGTAAAAGTAAAACACCAATAGGCAATTCCAAACTTTTGAAACAACACCCTGAAATCCACGTTGGTAGGATTTGGTGACAGTTTGGACCAACGACCAAATAGTCCGCTAGTAACTGCACAACTACCGAGTTCACTGTCATTATGTAGTAAAAGTATTATCTCCCACCACAAAGAGGTTTAAAAATGGGAAGCTTACATATATTTTCTTACTTTTAGTGCCATTTTTAAACTAGATCTGTTTTTAAATTGAGTCTTATAGCGGACATAGCTCATGTGGAGATAAATAGACAGCACTACAGTTAACTACGGTTTTGGGGTGAGCTGTCACTTTTACAATTAATGGCGTCACTTGCACCTTGTTCATAAGTAATGGCCGACAAAAGGGAACATTGCTATTAGCAGGAAAATACAAACCACACCCAAATTAAACAAATTTAAAAAAAGAAATAATGCTTGGTCCAATAAGAGAGAGTAACGACCTCCACAACTACAAGTAAACAGGGACTTATTATAACATAGTGCAAGGTGTCTACGCGGTTGGCCCAACATGACTTGCAGTGGTGTACTAGCGTACCAGTCCCCCTTGTCGGACTCCCTATTGTGGCACAAAGGGGGGCACTATCTACCCTTCCTTCCTGCCACACTGTCACAAGCACAAAGGGTCACTTGATTGCGCTAAGGGCTCCGCTGCGAGAAGCTGAACGTGGCTTTAAGGGACAGAGGCGCTCTGTAAACGCCGGCTCAGAGCAAAACGGTACTGAAATTCTCACACTACACTTTGTCCACGTGTCATGTGGTCAAAACCGCGGATCAGCCGGACCGCATGGCGAGCGACAACACTAGATGTGGGAAATTCATGAATCGACGTTGCATGCAAATGTGCTCGGCAAACAAACAAAAAAAAAAAAGGGGAGGCAGAAAGAGAGGCCAGCGAGACAAAGGGAGGGTGAGATAAGCCGTCCTCCTTGGAAGCTTCTCTTTGATGACCGTCCAGTCAGAGAGCGATTCCCCTGAGAGGAACAAAAAAACAAGTCTAAAGGCAAGTCACATGAGCCGCCGAGAACCAAAAAAAGGCCTGAATCGAGATGAGAGGGCCAAAACAATGAGGGAGCTTTGACGTAAACTCTCCAGACGAGAGCCTAAACACACGCAACAGCGCTGCTGCAGACACCCAGAGGCCAGCCGGTGGCTCGCTGCCAACGAACCCAGTCACCTCGCTGCCTCGCTCCACCGTGCTTTTCTTCTCCCTTCTCTTTTGCTTTCGCCTCTTAAACGGAGCCGACTGGGCCTCAGCCTTCAGCCGTGCGAGCCAATATTTCATCCTCTAACACACCCACGCCCCCCCCCTCTTCTCCATTTTAGGAATGGCTGTGGAAATACTAGCACGGAGCACACAGGCGAGCGGGATGCCGGATTCAAGCAGTGACATAAACAGTTGATCAAGTTAAATCAAATCTCTATGTGGAGATTCTAAAAGCAGTAGTACACTAAGGTCCACAGCTGGTTACAAATTATTTTTATAAGAGCCTCGATGGCTTGGATAGAACCGCGGGGCCACTTGGACGCGAGAATTTCCTCTGGTGCCCATAAAATGTTATGCTGCTAGTTTCAGGCCGAAAAAACTCAATTGGGTGTTCCAGCGAGGGCTTCTGCAAGCATTAGGACAGCCAGGAGAGATGATGGCTTCCGTCAGATGAATGGAAATGTTTTGAAAAGGCAGATGAGTGAAGTGTAGTGGGCATGAGGCTCGGTCTGGGAACACCATCAGAAGCCTCTAAAGCGGTTTCGGGTAGAGGGAGGGGGTGCAAGGACTCTCAGCCCAGGAATGTGGCACCCTGTCAGGTCTCATGAGGATTTATCTCCCCGGAGCCTCATTACCAAAAAGCCCTGGACACCGAGGCTCTCGCTCGCTTACCCTCACTCACCCTCAGCGCGGATCTATGCCCACAATCATCAAAATAACATTTTAACAGTGATAATGCTCAATTCTCAGGGTTTTCCGGGGACCAAACTTTGACATCACATGCTGTCTTGTCTTGCTGAGGGGTTGATCGCATCTGCCGGGCTAAAAATACATTAATCATGCCGCGAGCTTAAAAAAAAAAATGTAAATCCACCATTTACTGCCACTCCAGTAGCAGGTAGGTGTACATATGGCGTGTTTGGAGGAAGTAGGGAAAAATCGTACACCGTCCTGCTCATTCCTGCATGGATCGCTTTCTGGGAGATTTAGCACAGGTTCTCCAGTTTACGTGTTAAAGTGAAAAGTATTGGTATTGGCACCCGAGCATATTGTGAAAAAGACCCGACAAAACATGTCTATCTAGAGCAAGTGGTAGTATTTTCCTTCAACGTTCATTAAGGCAGCAAGCGTCTACAGCAGCAGCCATCACCAACTTCTACGTCGGCTTCAACACTCTTCTGCAGAAAGGTGGCGGGTGAGCAACCGGCTTAAACAAAAAGCAATTAATACACTGCAGCTTCACTATTGGGGTCCCGGGAGGTTATTTTAAGGTCAGGATTAAGAAACGAGGTTAATCTGTGTGACAAGCAGTGTTTGTGAAGAACATACAGCTACAACACTCAGGCCTTCTCCGACCTCCCCCATTGTTTGTGTTAACAGAATTATGCGTGCCGTTCTCTATACGCACGGCTGTGTCTGGCCTGGGTACCTTCAGAGGCCTGTTACTGATTTGCATTTCTCTTTCTCAGTCGGATTTTTCAGATCTCTTTCTGTGCAATATGAGGTTACATTTTAATGTGTACTTTCGATGGTCTATTTCTCTCATAACACGCGCAGTCAACAGCACAGCGAGAGAGAAAACAGGACATTTAAAACCAAGCAACGTAAAGGGGGGGAAGTTGCAGAGCCATAAATAAGAAAAACGACTGATTTCCAATGTGGTTAAATATTACAGTTGCACACAAGCAAGAAAAATGTAAATCCCTCGGTTTGACATTTAAAAAGGGGAA